GTTTCGAACGCGATGACACGACATATGGGTAGCTTTCTTTGTAGCGTGTGTACATATATGTACGACGATAGTGCAAACCGCAAAGTTCGATACCGACACCAGACAGAGCATCCTCTCCGCTATTTATTACCGTCGAATGCATTTAAATCGCGGGTCAAGCACACGCGATGACGTCAGAGAGATTACGACGCTCTTATCGATTCGATTTTTCGCAAATGACATCGAAATATGTCTCTCTCTCTCGATATATATATATATATATATATATATATATATATATATATATATATTTCAACAAGACACTTTACATATTACCATTTTTCTAGAATACATGCACATAATTCTTTTTGTTTTTTTTAATTTCTATCTCGTGTGATATAAAAGTAACATTCAAGCGCGCTGTGAAATTTTAATTATGCTTTATAATAGGAGGAAAGTACTTCTGGCCGACTGGTTACAAATAATAGATGTAATGTCGAAAAAATAGCAAAGTGTTGCGAGAAAAACCTGATTGTCTATTTTCGGCATTATCGATGAAGAGGAAAATTCATTGTTAATCAAATTTGTTACACTTTACAGGAAAAAAAGCTCAAGAAAATTTATATTAAAACTATTAATGATTATTAATTCTAATTAAATATAATTATAAACACATTATTCGCTATAAACAAATATTACACAGATACTTCGCATCACATTTTCCATCTTTTTTTTCTTCGAAATCTCAAATACATATACAGAGGGCGTTTCCTAGAGATAAACCAGTATCTCATTCCTCATAAAAAAATAATTAAATATTGATAAATAATTTAATATTGATTAAATATAAAATACGTCTATACGGAAAAAAATAAGTATTAAATCAAAACTAATATACTTAAACAACGCGTATATACGCAACAATTTATAATTCTTAGAACAATTTAACAATTTCTCTTAGAAGAATTTAACAATTTTAAATTTCAACAATATTATAGTCTTATTTTAATATTGTAATTGTTACCTCAAGAATATATAATTATTTAATTTAAGAAAATTATAATCTTTGATTTAAAAATGTTATTTTCTATTCAACGTTGTTTTTTTTCCATTCATGAAAATTAAATCTTAAATCATAAGAATATATTTTTCTTGATTGAACTATATAAAATGGCTTCATTCAAGTAGGCAATTATTCAAGCAATTATATTTTCCTTTAATTAACGCAATATAATCTCATTTCAAGCTTTCCATGTTAAAACTAAAAATATTTTCAACACAAGAATGTCCTTTTTTTTCGTGTATAGAGGATATTCTATTTCATTCCAAGCGCCTATCGTGATAACATGGCACAACTTTTTTCGAAAATAAAAAAGGAAAAAAATAAAAAATATTCGAGGGATTTTTCAAATAAATTCATCGTTGTTGCTTCTGGCGCGAATTCTCGATACGTCATCACCTTGCGCGTCGCACGTGCAGGCGAGGAACGCGTCGCGCGCGACTTCCGGTCGATAAAACGCATTCTCTATAGAGTCCACGACTCGTGTGCACACGAGTCGACGTGTCCCGCTTTTCGGTGCACGATAATAATGTCAATATCAACGATAGACGTCCGGTGTTGTCTCGCTCGCTCGCGCGTCAGCGCGCGGCTCTCTGTTCCTCCATTGGTCTCCTCTCTCTCTCTCTCTCTCCTCCCCTCGACCGCCCTCTGCCCCTCCCCCTCACCGCATCATGCGCACGATTTTAGGTTAGGTGCGTGCACGTGCGAACTGTACTCGCGCATCTTTTATTATTTGTTTTTACGCACATTCAACCGAAGGGCACCTAGAGGTTCGCACGTGGGCGGACAAGTATCCTGTGAACCGTGTCGAAAATACAGGGAAAAAACAAAAGTTTAAGTAGGGAGAAAGAAGTGATAAACGAGCGCGTAATAAAGGAAAGCATCAAAATTGGCGTATCACGTTGTTTCTAGTGCCTCGCTCTCCTCCTACGTAGCTGAAGTTTAAAATAAAAGTTTATATTCAAGCAGATATATTTATTTTATTAGAAATTTCTCGCTGTCAGATCGTGTTTGAATTTTGGTTACTTTAATGGTTTTATTAGTTTCAAACTTTCGAACAAATAGAATATTTTTTAAAAACGAAGAAAAATTCATCTCTACAACTGACATATTTGCAGAAAAACTATAGAAATATGGTAAAAATCAAATAGTAAAAATCAAATATGGTAGAAAAAAGATAAAAATAAATGCAGTGGATTTAATCCACGTAGAATAATATTTTTTTAAAAATATTCTATTATCGTTGCACCGTTCAAATCATGTAATTCACATTGAAAAAAGTGTTGCGGGAAAATATATTGAAGAACTCTTGATAACAAGCTGATTTAGCAAATAAACGAATAATGAATGTACAGAGAATATTATGAGCTTCCATTAAACAAACTAACTAAACGGATCAAATCATTTACATCGCTTCTGTTAAAGTGCAGCATTTAATAAATGCAAATAGAGGTACATTAATTTAAAAGATTTATGTCGGTTTTGAAGTATCTTTCCTCTAATATTTCATCGGAGAATTTACTTGTTTACTTGGCGCGAGATGCAAGAGACCACCGGTTTATCGCGAAAAATTTCGTCATCGCCTTCATCATCGCGTTTTATAAATTTGTTGCAATAAAGTGTACGATTAAAAATGTAAGGTAGAACAGATCAGAAAAAAAAAGAGAATTAAAAAAATTAATTTGAATTATATTATATGTACATTCATTAAGACTATGCTTTGAACTTAGAAAAGTTAGACAAAAGCGTCAAGACTGACTATTATTGTCGCAATAATTCTCGAAGGACTTTAAATCTTGATCTCCGAAACTTTCATACAAGTCGATGAACCTTTGTCGAACTTTGACGTGTATGATAAAGTTTCGGAGACAATATATCGAATAGAATTCGAAAATTCGCAACGCTTGTAAGAAATATTGAGCAGCTACACTCTTTGTGGAGCTACCGTGGAATTCTCGTAGGTTGGTAACTACAAAGTTGCTGCGAAAGACCGACGGACTTTTCTTACAGTTCGATAAACGATGAATGAAACGTAATGGAAGACTCGTCGACCCTGAGAACCAAACATCGCGCGAAAGTTGACAGTGTTTTTGTGGAAAATAAAAAGGTATCATTCTTCAAATAGAGTGATCTTCCAATTCCGAGATTCTGAGACTGCGAAACTTTTCAAGAACTCCTTCAACTTTCATAACACAAGTAGCTTCACAATCCTAAGAAATGTTATATAAATGTTATATAAATGTTATATAAAAATACACTCGTGAAAAAAGTTATCATTCGTTCAAACCTCAATAATTCGTTTGGGAATTGTAAAATTTTTGCACTTTATATTTCAGAACTCGTCCCGAAATAAATTCCTTAAAACCTCGACTATAAAAATGTAAGCTCGAATTAAACATTATACAAAAATTGACAATATCGGTGAAATGTCATGATAGAAATGTCATTTTACACCTTTAATAATCTTCGAGAATTTTGAGATTCCGAAGCGTGTTCGAAAATTTACATATCAAAAATTCCAAAGCTCCTTTCATATTTTCTGCAGTAAGATATTTCAATTCCCTCCCTTTCCTTTCATTCCTTCTTCATTTTTCGATTTTTCTCGCTTTTCTTTTTCCGAATTGCCATAATTGACATATCGCGTCTTTCTATATCTGTCATTTTAAAAACTGCTTTTATATCTAACTATATTATTCTAAATAAATACATATATTTCTCTTAATTCTCCTCTGTGACTTTTGCACGTTTTTATATCTTTATCATTCAGATTAAATATTATATTATATAAATATTATATATATATATATATATATATATATATTATATTATATTATATTAAAATGCTAACGTCATGGTATCTTGTATTGCGACTATACTGACAGTATCCATTCATCATCATTAACTGGCAACGATTATTGTCTGCTGTACAGTAGGCACCAATAATGCCTTAACATATGAAATTGGTCGTATTCGGAATTAATAATGATTAGTTCTTATTAAGTTATTATTAGTCTCGAATGCGACCAATTTCATATGTTAAAGTATTATTGGTGCCTACTGTATATCAATTTGTGCACAATAAATACAGGGTGTTTCTTAATAAGTGCAAAAAATTTTAGAAGATTCTTTATCGAAAATTAAGGGAAATTTTTCACATAAACATTATTTAACATATACTCTTATATGCCTCCCTGTAGAGTTACATTCCTCCAAAAATGGGGAAGAATTAGGTTTTTATTTTTTTCTCAAATTTGGAACAAGTTAAAGAAATGAAATTAGGTGGATATTTTTTACTAGTAAAAAGGTTATTAATTAATATTTTTTTAGCCTCCCATATTGTTAAGGGAATGAAACTAGCAACCCCTATTCAATTTTTTATTAGAATTCATATAAAATTTTTTATTAGAATTCATATAAACTTTTTAATGTTTATGAAAAACCCCCCTTAATTTTCGGCAAAGAATCATCTCTTAAAATTTTTCGCACTTATTAAGAAACACCCGGTATATCTATCATTTTAAAAACTGCTATTATATCTAACTATATTGCTCTAAATGTGTACATATATTCCTCTCAATTCTCCTCTGTGACTTTTGCGACGTCTTTATCATTCAGATTAAATATTATATTAAAACGCTAACGTCATAGTATCCATTCATTCTTAACTGTCAATAACAATTGTCTACTGTATATCAATTTGCGTACAGTAAACGTATAAATTTTTCTCGAATGTGAGAAGTCTAACGTAATCTCGGATTCCGCGAAGACGAGAATACGAGCATTTTACGAAACGAACGGAGGAATCCGCTACTTCTCAATGAGAGCATTTCTCGTGCAATGATCCCGCGATTCCCGGAGACGAGACTCGGATTCCGAGATAAGCGTAAAGTCGCAAGGATCTTTCGTCGTTCGATCGCGCGATCGAACGAGACGAAGAGGAAAGATAAAGGGCGAAACGTACCTGTTCCCGAAGCGCTCCCTCCAAAATTCGGCCGCGTCCGCCTTGGTGATGCGAAACTGATCGCCGGCAAACACCCCGTTGGGGAATATCGCCTTGAGCTCGGACAGCATGTGGCTGAAGACGAGGCTGAGCTTGGTGAGGTTACGACGATAGTGGGACGTCTCGTCGAACATCTTCTCCTTGCCCTCCTTGAACAGCTTGATCGCCTGCTTGCACTTCCGCATGAGGTTGTTGATGAAGACACAGAAGTGCTCGTTGCTGTGCAGGATCTGCATCCGGTCCTCGTACTTGCTGTAGATGAGCCGCAGCCGCTGATACGTGTCCGGCAGAATGTCGAGGATGAACGGCGGCGAGTTCTTGAGGTTCATGCGCTGGTGCTGGCAGAGCTTCACCACCTTGTCCATCAGCTTCCAGGTCTTGTCCAGGGTACGCTTGTCGGTCGACAGCTTAGGCGGCGTCATCGCGTCCGCGAAACGGCCGTGCAGCTTCTGGAAGATCGAGCCGACGGAGTGGACGGCGCGAGCGCGGCTGCTGTGTCCGGACGACGACATCTTGACGGACGGACGGACGAACGGACGTATGCACGGACGTACGTACGTGCGTGCGTGCGTGCGTGCGTAATGTCTCTTCCTCGTTCTCTCTTTGCCAGCGCGCGCGCACACACACACGCACCCTCACGCACACATGCACCGGTTCCTGGCTTCTTCCTCTCTTTCCTCCTCTTCTTTTTTTTTTTCTTTTTTTTACTTCACACCCTCGTTGTTGTACTTGAGGTTAACCCGTGCACACACGCGCACACATACGTCACTCGGAATGTACGACGGATCGCCCAAGATCGCCGTCGAGCATATCTCAGCGGGACGCGGCCGCGGCCACGACAACGTCACCGCGAAGCCGCGGGCACGGGACGCAGCACCGGAACCTCGCGCGATACCGCATCCTAATTTATCTCACTTGGCCACGCGCGCACGCACACACGCACATGTACATACATACATACACACGGCCAGAGACGCGACGGCGGCGACGACGACGACGACGGGGTCCCCCACAAGCCGGATGCTCCACGACTCGCGGCGACTATCGATGATACTGACACTGACGCGACCGTGCGAGCGGGACCGAGCGCGAGCCGGAGCGCGCGGCGGCGGGCTGCTCGCCCGCTAGTTCGCGGAGCCGCCGCGGCGAGGCGCTGCGCGCCTTGGCGCGCGATTCAAACGTCAAGTTTGTCCCGAGAGGCAAAACTATTTGTCGGATTATTTTACTCTTTAATTGTATTCCGTGGTTTTTTTTTATTTATTTGTGTTATGTGTGGAATTTTTCTCAATTTCTCAAATTTGCATTTTCGTTAGAAAAATATAGATATTTTGATAGAAAACATTCCTCAGCAACTAAATATATGTAAATTATTTTATTTTTTAATTATATTCCACGCTTTTTTTTAAATTTATTTGTGTTATGTGTGGAATTTCTCAATTTCAAATTTGTATTTTCGTTAGAAAAATATAGATATTTTGCTAGAAAACGTTCCTCAGCAACTAAATATATATGAATTATTTTAAAAAGTTATTATAATTTACTTTGAATTAATTTTTTCTTAGTCAATATTTTTCACTTGTGAAACATCAACAGATGCGAGATGCAGATATCTTTAATACACTATAAGCTTGCCCTCTTCTATTTAATATACAATATATTTTCTTCCTCTTTATTCATATAGTATCTAAATAATCATTTAATTGAAATCATTACTTCTTCCTCTCTTTATCTAAATTATCAAAGTCAATATATTATTTTCATCTCTAGTTTTATCTTTATTTTAGATAAAAGAAGTATTATTTTTTTTAAATCATTTAACATAATGAGTTTCTCTACATCAAGTGTCGAGAAGTATTAGCTTTACTAGTGAGCGAATTTTACAATTAACACTTATACATTAATATTGAGAATGTATATTGTAACTATTACATTGCATGAATATTTGAGGACTCGCTTCAGCCAGAACATTCATAATGTTGACAATTCAAAAGAGAAAAGATGTAAAATTCGCATCAACAAAAAATTATGAGTGAAACAGGAAGTATCTTTATTATGATACATATACATAATATACATAATATTATCATATAATATGATATCAATAATATGATAATAATATGATAATATACATAATTTAAAATTTTATACAAATGAGTTTTTCTACAATAAATAATAAAAAGTAATATATGAGATTATGTGCAAATAACCTAATGAACTAATGTAATATTCTGTAGACTCTGTAATCTGTGATGTCATTATTTTAAAGGAAAAATGGAATTCTATATCAAGCTGGATGTATATTATAATGATTATAAGATGAAATTATGTATTGAGATATAAATGAGCATTATAACGAAACAGTTTTTTTTTACTGCATCGTTAAACTTATTATTATATAAGACTTGCAAGCTCGGAAACCAGAATACTGGATACACCTTTTTTTGATTATCGAATATAGTGCATCGATAAAACGCACTAAAATCTATGAAATCGCATCTCTAATTCAGCAATTTGATCTCTAATCATTTCATAACGTAATACTCATCAACATACGCATCACTTACATGCTGCGTCAGTTGAGCAAGTTTTAAAAGTTTTTCATTTTTCTAAATTTTCTTCTGGAATCGGGCTACCTGCCAGCTAGGATAACTTGTGCTTCGATAATGTTAATTTGCTGTCACCGGTTCGCTATATAATTACTTAATCGTAATAGAATGAAACTTGATAACATAAAGCAGCTTGCAGGAATGGATGCTAGTATGTAGTACCTTTCATCTGAAACATTTAATTGAAAATATTATATATTGCATATATAATTGTACAATTTACGTGAAAAAAAACGAGAAACAATAGCAATTATATTTCTTATCAAATATCATCAGAGATAATTTATAACTATATATTTATATCTTCAAGATATAACTATTAGCAAGATTAAATAATATTAGAAAGATTTGAGGAAAAATTATTGTGTACATTTTTTTTTATTTATTTTATATTAATTATGTCATCTTTAATTTACTTTGATGTTTATTCAAAGATTTAAATTTAACATTCTCGCTCAAAAAGTTATTTTGTAAACGTTTATTACTATAATTACATCTGACTTTTTATTAAAGATCTTATTTATTAATGTAATTATTAATAGACTTAGCAGCTTTAATTATATCAGACATCTCTCTCGCTTGTACAAAAGTTTTACATTTACCTGTCATTTGGTTAGATTTCTTTACTATTGCCCAACCTAAGCTTCTTTCCACTGCCATTTTCCATTTTTTATATCTAGCGTCCCTCTCTATAAAAAAAAATTATATCTCACTTAAATAATATCGTTTTTTATAAAAATATAGAAAATATTATATATGTATAGAGTATATAATTATATATTTAGAAAAATATTTAAATTCCTTAGTTCGAAAATTTTTATACCTTCCGACGTGGTGGTCGGCAAGAAAGTATCGGATGGCACTGTTTCCACTTCCTCACCTTCCAGATTCCATACATCTATCCCTTCGGCATGTCCTGCAGCCATCGCTACGCCTAGAGCTGTCATGTCAGGCATAGTTGACCTAACTGCACACATACGTTAAAATATAAATACAATTAATAATAGCCAGAAACATAAAAAAAATCATAAAAATAGGATACTATTACGTATATAAATGTATTATTTCGCTCATAAATCCTGTTATATAGTCCAACCAATACACTTACATACTGGTGTACCACACAAGTCGGCCTGCAGTTGCATAAGAAGATTATTGGTCGACATTTTCCCATCCGTATTTAACTTCGTTAATGGAAATCCGCAATCCTTGTGCATTGCCTCGAGGATATCCCTAGTTTGAAAACAGACCGCTTCAAGTGATGCTCTGATTATGTGTTGTTTCGTAGTAAATGCTGTGAGCCCACAAATTATTCTGAAAGAAAAAATAATATTTCTCTCAAACACACATATAAATATATATTTTACTAATTCATCCAGGATTAAAATCCTTCGAATAAACAAGATACTTTTGATACTTTAAATATATCATTATATATATAAGCAATATTATTAAATATATTTTTTAAGAAGTCCAAATTTAATATTTCAGTTTCTATATTTATATATTTACGAAGAGAATAGAAGAGAAAAAAATACAGGAAATAATTCGAATAATTTTTACCTACCCTCTTGCATCCTTTCTCCAGTAAGGCGCATATAATCCCGTGAAAGCGGGTACAAAGTAGACATCCCCCGTATTAAATACGCTTTGCGCCAAGTGTTCGCTTTCATGAACATCTTTTATGAGCTTCATGTTGTCTCGCAGCCATTTAATAGCTGCACCTGCAACCGCGACCGAACCTTCCAATGCGTAGACAGGTGGGCTCTTTGGACCTAACTGATATGCAACTGTCGTAACCAATCCATGAGACGAATATACTCTCTGGAAAAAAAAGATTAAAAAAATAATACGACAGACGAACATTTTAATTTTATTAGAAGCATGTGTGATCTAATGAAATATTTTTAATCTTTTATATGAATATTTTGATATTACATACGGTATGACCCGTATTACACAGCAGGAAGCAACCACTTCTGTACGTGTTTTTGGCCTGTCCTTTCTTCAGACAATTTTGTCCTACCAAAGCTGCTTGTTGGTTTCCTAGAATCTGACAGAAACAGAAAGTGACAATAGAAAAATGCGTATTCTCTCCCTATCTCTATATAATTTTTATCGTAAAATTTTACATACACCGGATATAGGAATACCAGATAGAGGGGGAATCGAAATTTTGCCGTATATTTCGGAGCTGCTCCTGATCTCTGGCAACATTTGCATAGGAATGTCGAAATATCTGCATAATGTGGGATCCCAAGAGAGCGTCTCTATATTCATCAACATGGTTCTCGATGCATTCGTTACATCGGTGATGTAAAGTCCACCATCTATGCCTCCCGTTAAGTTCTACAACAAATTTTAACATTAATTTCGCTGCAATTTTTTTCATAAGATTTTAATTTCCTCAGTCAGATATATTATCGAAGAATAAGATTATTAAAAATGCTTTTCCAGATACTAATTTATTTGTGATATCTCGAAAGTTAAATAATGACATTTATAATACACTGTATAATTCAATTATTACTTGATATCAATGATAATTTTATTTTAATGCCAAACATTAGCAGATATTAATATAATAATTAAATAAGCTCGATTCAAACTATATCTGTTAATTTCTACTAACATGTAGAAATATCTCTTCGTCTCACATACCCAAACAATCCAAGTGTCCATAGTTCCCACTTTGCATCGCCTCTCATGAATTGCCTTTTTTACACTCGGCAGATTGTCTTTCAACCAGCGAATTTTCAAAGCGGAAAAATAGGGACTGACAGGCAGACCGCACAAAGGTTTCAAATGATTCTTGTTCTGATCCGGAAACTTTGCTATGATCTGGTCCACGATCGCATCGGTTCTAATGTCGGACCACACTGAAATTAAACATTTCCTGGTAGAATCTTTTAAGATTATTTTTTTTTCAAAGATCTTTGAAAAAATTAATCTTTCTTTATATTTTTTTCTTAAACTACTTTTTTTTTAAAGACAATATGTCTAATATATAAGACTTTTCAAGTCTTTTCTCAGGATAATGTTTGTTCTTTCGTAGCTAAATTATTATAATGAAGCGCAAAAAAACACCTACCTATAGCGTTATAAAGCGGTTCCCCGGTAATCGCGTCCCATATTACTGTAGTTTCTCTCTGATTAGTGATGCCCACTGTGACGATTTCATCAATCTTCATACCCAGTATATTCAATTTGTGATTTACATTGTCAACGCAAGTTTTTACCGCCATAAGGATATTTTTGGGATCCTGCTCCATCCATCCCTCTTGTAAACTGATATGTTCAATGTCTATTTGATGAGATGCAACCTCCGCAACATGCTTCGCATTAAATACCTACAGAAACATAATTCCTTTTATAAAATTATTCTCAATTTAAAAAAATTATTTAAAAAAAAACGATAAAATATTTATACATGTCCTATAATTTTCAGAAATAATTCTGAAATATTTAATAAATTATATATCTAAAAAATAATTATTTTAAAAACAAATTTTAAAAAATTAAATGTTATTAAATTCTAAATTTAAATGTCAGAATTGCGATATCCAGTCCCTTTATTACATTAATATATCGGCTTTTCAATATGATTATTATGTTGAAAGCCACGATATTTTTGCTTTGAAATTCTCACTTGAATTCTGAACTTGAATAAATATATAAATATATAAAACTATGGAAAATTATATAATGCTGATAACGTTATATCGAAGAGCTATACTTTATGATAAGCACTCTCTCACCACAAAACGGACAGTCCGCGTGCCGACATCAATTACGCCAACAAGCGGTCCTATTTTTCTTATTGAATTCGGCATCGTATCTGAAAAAGAGAGAAAATTCTCTTAAATAAAAAGCCTTGAGTAGAATCCACTAATGGCAGCTTAAAAAAATATTAAGAAAAAAAAAAATAAATTTGCTATCTATTACACGTAATTTTAAGATAAAACTTAAAAGTTACTAGAAACTTAGAAGAGACATATGCTCTTTATTATTTTGTACAGTTACATAAAACTGGTTACAAGGAATTTACGTAAATCATAAGCGACCTTGTATTTATGCATTCTATTATAAGCTTACATTATCGTCACTGCAAGATTCTTTCGTCTTTTTTTCAATTGGATTCGTTATCGTTAAGCAAGACAGTGTTTCTGATATTCCTATATCGATAAGGAAATTTCCATGTCGTTAAACTGTACGGCGAACATTAACAGCTATCTTCGATCGCGATTGTATCGTGATCATGTGTTCGATTCTCACAATTAGATTAGAAATACAAAGATTCTTCCACATCTTCGCGGATCGATAAATAATTATTTTCACCCTTCTCGCTCACCCCTGTATATTTTTCTCTCGCGTCATCACTTTGACTTATAACGCGCAAAGCTGTCACATGGCTAAGATGCGTAAGCACGGCTCGTCTTGAATGAAGAAAGTCGGCCACATGGCGAGAACCGTGACGTCATTTCGTACCAAAACAGCGCGCGCCCGCGCGATTGATTGATTGATAGAAAGCACGTGCGTCATCGCAATGTGCAAAATATTTATATATTTTCTCAAAATATGTACATATTTTTTAGAATTTATTATAAATATGTGAGAGAGAAAGAGAGAATATAGATATTGATTGATAAAGAAAAATTAATTAAGAATTTATCGGATGCATCGTCACAAGATTCTTTTATGGAGTAAGATAACCGTGAAATAACTATTCAGAAAAAATCTCAAAGAATCCTAAAAAAGAGAAAGAAAATTAATCCATGCAAAATTGCAGAACTTTATCATTTATGTTTTTATTATTTCTATTATTGAAAATAACATCACAATAAAACATTAATTTTTTTGTTTTAAATCTTTTTTCGTGCTTCTTTTTCGATACTTAACTTTCTTCTTATAATATTATTAATTCATAGAATATTATTAATTCATGAAATATTATTATTGTTGAATTTTTTTTATTTATCAAATATTGCATAAAATCCAGTTTTATTCTTTATCGTAATATATCAGTCTTTTTTCCAAATGATCTTTCAATTTCTATTTCTAATATCTTTTTAATATCTATTTAATTTCGATTTTCTTGTTTTCGACTTTCCTAAATTTTTAGATTTTAATTAAATTTTTTGATTCTTTTCAGTGGTATTTTAATTGTTAAAGACACACATGGTACATTATCTTTTTCTTTCTTTTTAATAACAAATTTCCCCTTTATTTCTTAAAAAATTAATAATCTAGCTAGAGCATATTAACTACAGTCATTTAACTACTAATACAATACCATAATTGATCTTTTAAATCTTGTATGCTGCTATCTCAGCTTTAAGTACTGCTATACACAAAAAATATATCATAAGTTGGAATATTATTACAATAATAAATAAGAAATAGTATGTTTGTGCCTCATGGTTTCGAAATAAAATTCGAAATAAAATATTCCGATAAAACCGAGCCTCTATATATCTCCGTTGATCTGCAAAGTTTATCATTTGTACGGCCCGAAAAAAAATATCATACTCATTACGATATCATAACTAAACTGGCTTAATATCCCACACACGCTTTCGACAGTGTACGTAATCAATTAATTGCTTCCCAGAATTTTCTGCATCGCTCGTAACGATAAAATATATGCTTGTGTGGTCTTTTGTTTATATGTGTTGTTTTGCGAAATTTGTACAACTCTGGTATACTCTCTCTGTACATAATATATATAAAATTTTCAATTAATTTTATGAAAAACTCTATCCAATATTTATATTCTCTCTTATATAAATTGTAAAAAGTATGTTTTTTTTTTCGTATATTTGTCAAGTCAGTTTTATATATCTTCATATGTTAATTTTACGTCTAACGTTCGTTAAAAATATATTCATAATATATATATAGAAATTTATATTCTACTTTAAATTTATATTTTACGCGCACGGAAGTGAATTGATAAACGCAACACGCGATATAAGTTTTGACAACTCGAATACATCATAATTCTTTGGTGATTTATTACATTAGAACGTTAGTATATCACATCGAAACTTTAGTATAGACACTTTATGTGTACTATAATAACATGACACGTGTATCATGTTGTATTTCTGGCAGGAGGCAGGATTAAGACTGTGGCCATGAAAATATTGGCATCTGTACATACTTTTGTACCGATGATTACGTAATCTTTAGAGGAGGTCAATTATCTTCTTTAAAATCATTCTCTCTAATTAAACGAAGATCTCTTTATCGTGTAAATGTTTTTTTCTCACAAAAAAAATGCACAGATATAATCAAAGAAAAATACGATAAAACTACAATAATTCTGCGAAATCTTGCATTATTTAAGGAACAAGAAGTGGTTTTTATTTTTAAAGATTAAAGACCTCTTCAATGTTTGCGCAATAAGAATGTCAAGTGTTGTATTCGATTCTGCTGAAGGCAGTCACCATAACTAATGAATAGTCAATAACAAAGTGTGTTTTTTTCATTCAACTTCAGCGTAAAGTAAATAAAAATGTTCGAATTTATTCGTTCTTTCATTCCCAGAATTAATATAATATAAGAAAATAATATAAAAACTAAGAAAATCATAATTGGATGAAATGTCACGAAAGAAAAAATTATAACGAGCACAAAAGAAATTATTTTACGTGAATCATGTTTAGAAAAGTTACATCGTCATTCTTATCTACGCATTCAATTATCATTAGACATACGTCTAAAGTCCAGAATAATATGCATAGAATCGACTTTGAATTCTGTATCATCGCATGACAGCCAAGTCGATTTAGTCAAACGATGAAAGGCGACACATTGATTTACTCTATCGATATTAAATATTGCTGACTAACCGGGAAAAATAAGATCCTGATGATCGCGCAAGCGATCGATCTCTAAATCGCTTTCGCGATAATCGAGATAAACTACACTATCAACTAAGCTTCCCTTGCACTTAAAAATACTTATATACTCTATCTGAGCGCTATCTGAGCGTTTATTAACACAAATCCGATTCACCGTTATCTGCACTTAGGAGACTCACCCGTATTCTTGTACGAGTAATACTTGAAAATGCTCGTCCTTCTTCCCATCTCCGACTCCTCCATCTCCAGGGACGCGTTCGAGTCCTCGAAGGAGCCTTCCGGAGTGCCACGCTCGCTCTTCGCATCTCCTTCTTCATTTCCATTCATGTCTTCCTGCTCCATAAGTCACTCGATCGTCTTCCCGAGTCTGGCGACGAAAAGCGCGGGAACCGCGCTTGTTGACGTACGCTTTGTGAATGAATCAGCTGACGCTCTCCGGGAATGTTTCTCTCACTTTAAATTCGCTCGAGACGAGACTTCGTTCTCGGAATCGCGAGAAAACAAACGTCTTATTTCATACCGAACGTGTCACGCACGCCTGTTCGATAGAATGCGAGACAATCGGTGACCTGTTCGACGAGAATCGTCTCTCTCTCCCGCCCTGCACCTTTTCCTCCTCCCTCCTCTGGCGCGTAGATATCGCGTGTTCGTGACTCAAATCTACTGTTCGGTCACTGTCGGATCTCAAAATAAGCCGGATCTTTTATCGAGTTCCCGCGGTCAATGTTAGTTTAGGGCACGTCTATTATTCCACGTGGCAGGAAATATCGTTAAAAACCTCAGATTTCTAAAAAACTTACATCTGTCAGAATCTTAATAGTCAGAATCTAAATAGATACTTAATAGTCAGAATCTAAATAGATACTTCGAAAAAAAGAGGACATATGTCAGATACAGAAATAACCGACTCGCGAAATCTTTATATAAGTATATGTAAGATGATCTTTCAATTATATAAAAAATGATTTCACAAATATATAAAAATCTACGATACATAAGTTTTCGCAAAATTCACGAGAATACGATTACTTTTCGCCACGCCGTATCTACTGTCAAGATGTTGGAAGAGAGCAAAATTTTTTGTAATTTTTTGCAAAAGAGATAGTCAATTTTCGCTTCCTCAGTCGTTCTTTAAATGACAAACAAGCAATACCGACCCGATTTTTTTTTTGTAGTTTCAAACCTGTACGCACGTGGTTTTCGAACTGAACGTGAGTACTGGATTATGATGCTGAACAGAGACATCGTTATTATAAAGCGAAGAAGGCCGCATATCTGCGTTCGTAGTTTTCCCTGGGAAGCACCAGACTACCCATAAGCAATCTCCGCGATTCATCCTTATATACGAATTGCATCGTACACAAGCACTAGCGAGAAACACTACGATAGCGAATGCAGATTTTCAGAACGATTCCAAACCACGATCTCGAGCATTCGAATTTTAGAATAAATTTTAAAAAATATCGACTATCGCGGGTGACCATTATCGGGATCCAACGTAGGATTTTTAATACAACTTTGCAATTATTTAGTTAAATAATCGCAGCCAGGTACAAGGTGACAACCGCCTAGCGGTCGAAATGTCAAACTAAAGTGCAACGCGATTGCATGCAACGCCATCGTTGCATGCTCTCCTCGTGGCGCGGATATTTAAAGTTGCGCTCGATAAAATCAGGCGATTCTCCTTCAAATAAAATTAATTAAGCGCGTACGCTCCTCGAGGAAAATTTGGAAAAATTACAGTGACATCGACATGAATACGCGCAGGAAAAAGGGGGTATTGTAAACTAAATTAGAGGAATATTCTTATATATTTCTATTTTGTAACGATATTTAATTAAAATGTGTAAAATGTAATTTTTTTTATAAAAGTATCTGTCGATGCATCCTTGAAATTTCAATTTTACGACATGGAGTAAGATGCAAAGTATAGTGAACTCTGAATATTTTGTTGACACATCGATCGGCTATGATGAAATAGACGATTGCGTATTGAGTATTTATTACGTAATTTCTTTAAAATTCGACATTTTTTCATGAATATTCCAATAAACCAATAATCGAGAGAACACTAATCGTTAACTTAGAAAATTCTATATCCAAGAGATATTAATTTCAACGCAATATGTATGGAATTTATGTGAAAACTGCAGACGTTTCAGTAAAAACAATGACTGAAAAAAATTTATCTATGAACATTTTACACCTATTTTCTCAGTTTTTTTCTTTTTAAATAGAAATATAAACAACAAATATGACAACTTTTTATTAACGAGACTAGACAAAGATCGAAAATCAAACCTCTTAAACTGCAATACCTGTCTGTTCTATTCATCTTTTTATACGTGAGAAAAGCGTGACAGGTAAGCGGGAAAAAATATAAGGGAAATTGTCAGAATGCAAGTGGAGCGTGACATCGTACCACGTGGCTCTACATATGGCATTTTACATATGGGGTTTCACGGTGTCGTCCCCCCCCCCGGCTAATTCCGCGGAGCGGGAAGAACCGGAAGCGGAGATACGGGACGTCCCGGTTACGCGGAAGCGAACCTTCCGTGCGACGAGGAAGGCGAAGACCGGAAAGGTTTACTCACTCAAAGCCTCGAGTACACTCGAACTGCGAAGCGCGCAGCCGGCGAACGAGCACTCTGCGTCCTGCGACATTCCCGCCCCTTCCCCCCCCTCTCGATCGCCCGAGATCGGTCGATGATTCCTCCGTCGACGCTTCGTCGCGGTCGTCGACGATGAGCGCGTCGCGAATACCCGGATCACCCTCTTCACGGGGCGGTCGCGCGACAACCGAGAGAGGGAGAGAGACGCGTGTTTCAGCGCTTTGCCATGCTTTCGCGTTCCTCCCTCCCCCCCTCCTCCCGCCCACATGCCACAGCTGTCGTCTGCTGCACGCGCCATTGTGCGCGCGCAACTGTCCGCATTTATAACAGTCGACACGCTCCTCCTCTATTCTTAACGTCTGACGTAATGGACTCCCTTATTCTTGACACTTATCTATTATTTAATAGCGTGAAATTAACGTTGCTTGCAACTCGTAGAAAATTTCATATTTAAAATGAAACTAACGTATATTTTAGGCATCGAAGATAGCAAGGTTCGACTGCAAAAAATTTAAATAATACGAACAGAAATGTCATTTTTACACGTACAGCAAGATGGATTAAGAATACAGAAATTGTTAAAAATAGGGAACTGAATTAAGAATAGAGGCTCGACTATCTCACACCCGAATCCGGCGCGAATGTTCAAATTTTGATGCACGCCAGATACGAAATTGCCAAATTAAAATGGATGATTAATCGCCTATGATAATTGATTGTGACAAAAGATTCTACGATAGAAAACAGAATTTTTTTTCTGCTATCAATTTGTTGCTGTTTCAAGAATATTTCTTTTTCTTTATCGTAATGAAATTCTGCCGGCAACCGTGCAATGCTTTTTGTATAAATAAATGCATAACTCTAATCTTAATGAAATAATAAATTGAAGTTTCTATCATTATTTATTTTAATCGCGCGTTTTTTTTATATCACTGATAAAGTTAAGTAAAAATGAAATATGTACAATATTATACTTGTAAAAAAAGATATAAAAGAAAATCGTGTGCACATTATTTTAGATTGATATATGAAGTATATATATCGAGGGATATCATGTAAATATTATATTAAATATATGTACTAAATTTTTACACACATGAGCACACGCATACATACATTTTACATATATCTTACCTATTTATAAATCAACTTTTAATAATATCAATAAGGAAATAAACATAAGCGGTTCACTTTCTATGTAACACTTAAAATTATGCATCGTTATAAATAGAAGTATTGTATAAAGAACAATAGTATCACGGTTGCATAATGCTGAGTATTTTATAAACTGTTTCGTGTACATACAAGTTAATCACGTGGAATTAGTAATTTTTATTAAATTGTGTGTCAATACAGTTATCACAGTACTTATTCGATATATCCTCATTTATTTAATAGACACGTCGTATAATTTTAAATATATGTTCACGACATATAAAAATGTCATCATCATACTATACTAATTCGATGAATGTCTTACATATATCACATATAATTACACATATATATTTTTTAAAATTAGCTAAGTATATTTTATAAATAAATTTCTCACGTATTTAATAAATTTAAATAAATTTTATATAACGAATATAATAAACTCAGTGCATAGCTAAATCTTGGTTAATGCCACAGATTTTTAACTTTGGACTTAAAATATTAAATAAGAAATTTTTAATAAGTATATTTTTAATATCGCAAAAAAAGTGACAGATTCCTAAACAAACAAAATATTTAAAAATGATAGTTTGAGTATGTTTACTCTAGTTCCTCTAGATTTATGTTTTCCTCAGAATTTAATTTATTTTAAAATAAATTTGTAAAAACATATATCTGTTCGTATAAATCAAATAATTTCTAAAAAATTATGACACAATTGAGACAATTTTCAATTTCAGCTTTTTCTAGTTTAGATGAATTATTCAGTCTGATTTTGGTTTGCTTTAGCAACAAATGTCCTAAAAACATAATAATAATATAAAATTTTCGTTGAGAAAAGTAAAATTATTCTTCCTCTGAGTTTATATTTTAATAATATATTAATAACTTACTTAATTATACTGGGTAATTTTTTGTATCTACAGATATACTTATGTCCAAGTCCGTAGGATGAATCTATTTTTATCATTTGAATACGATCTGTATTATTTCCATGACTATCTATTGCTGTTTTATAAAGCTGAAACATTACATACATAATCATGTGCAAAAATATTCCTTTCTTATAACAATCTTTATGCAGTAATCTGAAGTCATAAATATAGAACCTTCTCTGCCAAGGAGATTGGAATTACACCATCATCTTCGGCATGTAATATCATAATGGGACACTCAATTTTAGTAATATGTTTATCAGATTCAAATCTTAGATTGTTCTTGTAAAATGGTTCAACAACCACCCAATGGAACCATGGTAAATGCTTGAATAACTGTGTAAAAATATAAAAATGAAGATTATATTAGAAATAATGCATCTTTCTTAACCGAGAAGTAAATATTTAAATACCTGTGCAAATGGATGTTCTATTAATTCATCCGCTATGTTGGTAAATGGTGCTTCCAGAAATAATGCAGCTGGTTGTATATTTTCAGCTGCTAGTAGAGCTAATACATGCGCAGAGACTCTAATGACAAATAAAAATTTCAAAACTTCAAGCATAACAAATTATTCCTGTTTATAAATGAAAAAAAATCAAGTTTTAAAAAATCTCTTACCCAGTTCCTAAAGAGTGACCCCAAACAAAAACTGGAACTGAACCATTAACTTTTTTCATAACCCATTCAAAAACATATTTGCTATCCGTAACTACACCTTCTTCAGAAAGTTCCACTATATCACTATCGCCATAACCTAAATTAACAGACAAAATTAATTAAGAAAAGCATTTAAATATAATACTTGAACATTTTTATTTTTAAATCACAATTATTCTAAAAGTAAATTCAAGCATACTCACTTCTATAATCAAAAGCTATGACATGATAATCCAAATCTTGAAAAAGCTTATAAAGCTCAAGTCTATGCGAACTTGCTCTATTACCACTGTTTCCATGCATATATAGGAATACAGGTTGTGTGGAATTATTTAAAACTGCTTCGTAAGCTTCATCTGTTGCAGGAATGGAATTATTTAATAAAGACCGTGGTAATATCTGCCTGTAAATGTACTAACTTTTAATATAACAATATACACTATGTTATTATAATAGTGTAGAGAACAATGTAATTTTTCAGATTAAAAATTTCACATAGATCTCCTCAATTACTCACCATAAACCTATTTTAACTTGTTGATCAGTATGTAAATAAAAATTTCTAGCACCTTCCAATCCAACCGATTTTGGATCAGAAAACTCCACTTTAAGTGGCCATTGCACTGAAAGAGAAATAAAACAACATATAATATAAACTACTACATGAGTTAATTTCCATCACATTTCAATATATTCAAATTAAAAAGACAAATGTTATTCTATATATATATATATACCGGGTGTTTCAGACCACCCGTACACCCCATTTTAAAGCAAAGGAAGTGGTTATTTTGAAAAATGTTTCAGACAAAAGTTGTTGAAGATAAAGTAATGCATTACATGGGTAAATTTGATTGACCTTGGGTGGCGTCGTGAAGGTCATGTCAAGGTCGACTTGAATTTTTTAAATGGGAACCCCTATTTTTCATTGCATATTCTTGTAGCTTATCTCGAGAGCTTTCCAAAACACTATAATTAAGTACCTTTTTATTAAGTACTTTTTGAGTTATAAGGCTTGAAATAATTTCTTAATTTTACATAAACCATAAAATATCTAGTAAACCATTCATTTTTCGATTATCTTACCTTCATACTTTTATGTACAAAATAATGAGAGGAATCAATTGGTGTAAAGAAAACACATAGTTGTTTCTAAGAAAAAATATGTAATTTGCAATTAACAATTCCATATTTTTTCTTAAAAACAACTGTATGTTTTCTTTACACCAATTGATTCCTCTCATTATTTTGTACATAAAAGTATGAAGGTAAGATAATCGAAAAATGAATGGTTTACTAGATATTTTATGGTTTATATAAAATTAAGAAATTATTTCAAGCCTTATAACTCAAAAAGTACTTAATAAAAAGGTACTTAATTATAGTGTTTTGGAAAGCTCTCGAGATAAGCTACAAGAATATGCAATGAAAAATAGGGGTTCCCATTTAAAAAATTCCAGTCGACCTTGACATGACATTCACGACGCCACCCAAGGTCAATCAAATTTACCCATGTAATGCATTACTTTATCTTCAACAACTTTTGTCTGAAACATTTTTCAAAATAACCACTTCCTTTGCTTTAAAATGGGGTGTACGGGTGGTCTGAAACACCCGGTATATATATATATATATATATATATATATATATATATATATATATTTCTCTGATTAGTTCAAAAAAACTTTCAAGTTACTGCAATTATATTAATTTTATATATACCACTATTTATTATTTTTTATTAAGTTTACAATTATTAATTATATATTATATCTTACCAAAATTTAAGAAAAGTATCTTTTTCTGAATGCTGTAGGAATAATGAAAAATTACAGGCAGAAGTCCAAACACAACGAGATATATCAGTACAGATGCCTTCATTGTCCAAATTAAGCATCTGTAATACAAGTATATATATATATATATATATATTAAAGTAAGTAAGTTCATATGTACAAATATACCCAGCTATAGATCTAGTAGCAAAATTAATAAGATATATACAACAAAAACAATTTCAAACATATAGAACCATCTAAAGTTCTATACATATTGTTTGTTGATTTGTGTGAAATAAACTTTATTTTATAAAAATTTTTATTATTAAATATTTATTATTATTTCTTCTAACAATGGGTAAAATTAGTGAATCAAAATAAACTTTCTGATATATCATCTGATAAATCACAAACAAAGCAAATATACATAAAAATGTACTTTTTATATAACATTAACAGAATTTTAATTGTAATTCATATTATTATAAAAATATGACACATAAAGTCGAAGAATTGTATGATAAATAATAATCTCATAATGAAAAAAGATGACTTCAAATTGATTAAAGGACTTTGAAAGAACTTTGGATGATTCTTTAACAACATATATAATAATTACCGAGTTATTTTTGTCATTGCACACTCAAATACTTTGTAGGATTTTAATAAAGAAACAAAATATTAGCAGTTAGTTGCAAGTTTCACAACACTAATATAATATAAGAATAATAAGAAACTAATAAGATAGCTGCATTTATAAACATATGCATTAATATTGCATGCATTAAGTAAACACACACATAGGATAAATATCGTTAAGATCACACACATTAAGTGTAAGAAATATATACATAGTAGAAAATATGATATATATATACATAGAAAGAAAATAATATAAAGAAAAATAATGTAAAGAAATAATATACGTAGTAAGAAAGGAAATAATATACATAGAAAGAAAATATGAGATAAATTTAATTTTAAATAGCGAATTATATATATATATAAAATTATATATCAATAAACTTTAAATTGATCAAATTTTTTTTACATATTTCTATTCATTTATAATTTGATATGCATAAAGATATACTTGATTACTTGATTCGTAAAATAAATATATGAACTATGATCATATTTCTTGATGTTTATGATAAAGTTGTTTACATAAAGTTGTTTTTCAAATATTTTTATATATTATACATATACATATACTGCTAGTTTTACATACATATATACATGAAATAGATATATATATATATATATATATATATATCATACATAAATACATACATACATACATATATATATGTGAATAGATAATACAAAGCAGTTAAAACTGATAAAGCATACATGAATATTTATATTTCATTTTTTATTTCTTAAGTATAATTTGTACTTCATTATCATTGAATTTGCATTATTTGAATAAATATAATTTGTACTTCATTATCATTGAATTATTTGAATTTTTAAAATTTTGTTCCACATTTTAATTTATATAAAACCTTTGTATACATATAAAAATTTATTTAAAAAATTATAGATTTAGCAAAATTGACTAACCTATACTACTCTATCAAATTTTATGTTAATCAATCTCTTTTACAAATTGTAAAATACTTACAAACAGTTATCCAAGCAAGAACAAAGAATCTTTTGAGAATCTATCTGAGAAAAAGTGAGAAAGAGGAAAAGAAAGATAGATATTTGTAACACAGAATATGTATTTATATTAAGTCAAGTTATTCTTTCTTCTACTGAATCATTTTCCGCAATTTTACCCCACTCCTACTTAATTTATATAACTGACAACAAAATGATTAGAGTCCATAGTTCTTTTTCTACTATTTGCAAGTTAAAAAACATTTCTGTGTCAAAGTCACTAGTTTTTAAAAAATAAATTAAAAAGTTAGTAGATTGTAATGAAATATAAAGCTTGTGTGTTCACAAGAAAATTAATTTTATATGAACTTAATGAAACATATTCCTAATCAATTTTGTTATATCATGCTATATAAGATTAGCCTGTATAAATTCTTTCATTATTGATTTACTGTGACTCACAAGAATAATTGTAATATATCACAATGTGTCATGATGAATTTAAGACAATTTAAGATAATTGCACTGAGGATAAAAGTTCATATAAATTTTGTACAAACAGAAACATACATATCTTACAATTATTTTGTTTAAATAAGCTTGCAAACTACATTATGACATTTTAGTGACATCGATATAAGAATATAAAGAAATAAATAAATACAAAGATAAGTACAAATAAGTAAAAATAAAGATATTCACAGTTACAAATACAACTTACATTCCTGTATGCCAAATCTCAAAGATGACGAATGGTACTATCACTGCTAATAGTAGATAACTTGACATCATGATTGTTAGTAGTTACCGGTGTTTATATTGTTTTCTCGTTTTCTAGTCCTCTTTGATTAAATTTAATTCCAGAGACTTGTTGTAAGAAATTATTTCTATCATTATTGAGTTAAATATAAATATATAAGATAATTAAAATGACGTAATAACAAAATATTTGTATATTTTATGGTATTTACACATATATTTTATACATAAAAAATAGAACAATCCCTTTTGTAAATGTATAATATTTCTGATAGAAATTTAATTACTTTATTTCAGTCTTTTCCAGTACTTTTTATACATTGAATATTTTTATATAATAGAATGATAAATGTATAACTTTTATATATAAATATAAAATTAAAAATGATGATTCTCTGACACATGACATAGAAATTATATAGAAATAATATATAAAATAGCAATAAATGTTTTTTTTTATAAAATAGATTATATTTTTTCTATAATTTTATTCACATTTTATTCACATTTTTGCATACTTAAAAAAATTCATCCTATTGATTTATTAAAAAAATACGAATTATACATGCTATCATACTTTTAAAAAAAATGTTTTCTGTATATTACTTTCTCTCACACATGTAATATTTCCTATGTGAAATATTAGTCTAAGACAAGTGAAAGTGACAGCATAAGTATAGATATAGATTAGTAAAAAAAACTTAGTTCAAACCCCAACGTTTGTATAATAGTAGTTACATATCGATCGAGAGTATGTCAAGGACCTTCTTGCTTCCAGAAAAAATAAGACGGGAAAAGGGGAAGAATACGTATACCAAAAAAAAAAAAGAAAAAAAAATCGTCAAATACATGCAGGTTTAATTAAACGAACGAATATACCTTTTCACGAGACGTTTCTTCGGTAGCCAATATACTATCATTGTTATTACGATCGGAAATTAAAATAATACTAATTAATCTCGAGACACACGATGGATACCTGTATTCTGAGAAGCAATTATATTTATAAAATTAACACTTTGAACTATACGAATGACATTTACGTCACAACCGCGAGGGAAACATTTTCGAATCCTCTCTGACGTATGTATTTCGCGTCGTGTTTAATGAAATTTAACGATTCGTACCTAAACGATATTAATACACTTTTAACGATATACTGTTTCACTTTTAATACTGCTTAATATTAAACTAAAACGATCGAGGAATGCGAATCAACTGAGATTCTAGCCACAGTTCTTTATGATTGCAGAGGTGACCTCGAAATAAAAACGTACATAACTAACTGGTAGATGAGAAAAGTGGGAGGACGAGGGGAATGCGTTGCATACACACACACACACACACACACACAGCAGCCGCACTTTCTACACTTTCTACACCTTTTCTTCCTTTTCATGTCGAAAGATCTCTTACGAAATGTTACACAACTCGCGTTTTGAAATGCAACAGGTTAGATATGAAGAAAAAGCACAGCGAAAACGAATTATGTTCGGTCGTAGAAACGAGTAATTCTCGTTGGCTCTTTCTACATCTTTATCTCGCGCTTCTTTTTCCCTCTTTCAAAAATTTGCATAAACGTGTATCTGCCTCCAAACTCTTATGCAAATATATACGCATCTCATTGAAGGCGATGTGTATGATAATAAAATAGATTTATGTTAAAGATCCACACATACAACACACACACAAGGCTTGTTTTTATGCGCGGAACTACTCATAATAGGTGCATTCGCGTGTAGATAAATATGTACTTCTCTTGCATGGTAATCTAGCGTTGCTACATATCAATTCGTCATCTGTCATCTGTAACCATTACGCGTTGCATGATTTTTATTGCACTATTTGACTCGTGTGTTTGCCGCTCGACATTTGAATGACTAATCGAGTGAGTAATCGCCAGTGATAAAAACACAAATTCAGTTTCAAAGGTCGCTTCTTTCTTTTCCGTCGTTTTTTGTTTGCCTGTTCGTTTATCTCTATCGAGATTTTAAAATACGAGTTCGCTTCTCGCAATAAAAAGAATGTTAAATATTAACTTCGAAATTGAAAAAATAAGGCACATATCACTGAATAAAGATTATAAATATGTATAAAATTATAAATAATTACTACCAATTTTATCCGATTTGAGATTACGCCTATTTAATCAAAAAATTTCATAACATGCAATAACAATTGCACTTTGTACAATTGAAATATACAACAGAATATAGAACAGACCTAGCCTAATCTCTTGAATGGATATAAGTGGCAGCTCGGTTAATATTAATCTATTAATAGGTGAATTAATAGATGAGTTAATACCTTGTCTTTATAACAATATCAATAAATTATCTTTGATTCTTCTGAAAGAACGCTCTTTTTTTACGAATTTTCTGAATATGAAAAGAAACCGGTAAAGATGACGTATTCAACGAATATATTCGATAAAAGCCGCTTTTATGGCGCTACAAATGCTTCGAAGTGCATTGACCAATCGAGGTAAAGAAATGTTTGCTGCTTTTCTGATTGGTTAAGCACTAGTAGTAACGTCAAATTGAACGCAATCGAAAATGCGGTTAAATCGTTCATGTAATCTCACCTTTTGACTTGGTAAAGTCGCGAGCAAATCGACCAATCACAGTAAAGCATTCTCAAAAGTCTCACTGATTGGTCGATTTTCTTACGTTTATATTATTTTACTAATCTTTTTCACGCATAAACGTGGTTTAAAATTTTGATATAACCTGTTAATAGCTAAATTTTAAATTCTAATTTCTTTTTTTTAAGTCGGCACAGGCTGATCAAATCGAGAGAAATTTTCATAAAAATTTCAGGCATTCTATTGATGTTACATACATAAACATGTAACAACCAATCACGTAGCACAAAGGAAAATTGACGCGATCAGTCGGTATAACAGATGTTGATTTGATGAAAAATCAGTTTTTCGAATAGGTTAAAACTGTTTTGAAATATATACGTATTAGTTAGATATCCGTATTATTTACAAAGGTAAAACAAAATATCCGTGATAATTATACTCGTTTCTCACTCATTATTATTGAAAATTACGATAAATGTCACGATGTACATAAATATTCTCTAATATTTTTATATATTAACAGATGAGTCGGAAGGAAGCGTTATCCCAATTTATACAACAAATTCATGGACGGCCTGTTGTCGTAAAATTAAACAGTGGTGTTGATTACAGAGGTAAATGTTTTTGTTATATTTTAGCATAATATTAATATTTATCTAATTATTATCTTCACTACTGAAATAAAAATAATTATTTTTCAATTTGATTAGTATAGTTCGCATGCTTTATAAATTTGGAAATTTCTTTTGTATATTCTAAAGCAACAAGTATTTTATTTACAGGTGTATTAGCTTGTATCGATGGTTACATGAACATAGCGCTTGAACAGACAGAAGAATATGTCAATGGACAGCTGAAGGACAAGTATGGAGATGCCTTTATACGAGGAAATAATGTGTTATATATTAGCACACAAAAGCGTAGAAATTAATACAAGCAGATATAAATTTCAATAAAAATTAAATTTTTGTTTATTAAGTATATTGGAAATTGATCTTTGCATAAACATTTGTAACAACTACATTTTGGCTTACTTCTACAATAATTACAGGTATAAAGCGATAATTTTTATTATATGATAAATACTTCTAAATGATACTTTAATCTTATATGTGTGGATGTAACAAAAATTTTATATTACTATATATTTTAAGTTGCTTAAATACGATCTGTTGTTGGCTTCTCATTCGATAGTATTTCTTCCGATTTACTAGCAAATACTTCATTTGCATCTTCATTGAGTTGTGACTGCGTACTATCGACTTGAGATGTATTTGTCCCTTCGTAAACTGTTATAGGATTATTGTTTTCACTTAGAGTTTCTACGTTTGTGCGCTCAATCAATTTAGTCCTCTTAGGTTCTCCTTCACGTTCTTTTTGTCGCTGAAGTCTTCTTTGAATAGCCAGTTGTTTGTTTCTCTCGATTCGTTCTTTTATCTCATCGTTCAATTCATCCTTGGCAGTGCTTGTGGATTGTATTTGTGAATTTGATAAATTATTAGATTGCATCAGAAGTTCATCAAAAGCATCCTCGTTAGAAATGCTCGGAGCTGCAGTAGGCATGGAATTTCGTGCTTCAGCTTGCTTTTGTTTTTGAATTTGTTCTGTTATCAATAAATCGAAATCATCCAGAGGTGCATTCTCTGGTTGATCTTCTTCGTTATCCATGTTATCATGGATAATTAAATCATCATCTGAAGTGAGCATATCCAATCGATACTTTTTCATAAACACCTGCAGATCCTTCTTTGTCCCTAGTTGCTCGACTCTTGTAAGAAAATCATCAAAATGGTATTTTGGAAATAATCGATAGGACCAATGTTCCAATCTTTTCATAATTCTGTCAAGATCCGTTTTCTCATGTCCTTTGCCATAAAACTTAAAACCCTCAAAATATTTTTCAATAGTGTGAATACCATTGGGACCTTTCAATCGCTCTGTATTCAGTTTGGGCATAGGATTTCTAACTGTATGTGTTTTAGACTTTGATGGATCGATTCTTCGCCCAGTGTCTGCCTCATTATCAGAAGTTGCTTCTCCTGCCATCCCAAGGCTACCACGCTCATCATCGGATTCTTTATTTTCATAATATTCCACGATATCATCATCACCCTCATAATCGGGAATATCCGTCATGATGTATAGTGTAAAGTATCTTGATTAAATTTAAGCACCACTTGCAAATTCCTAAAAAAAGATATAAAATCGTTAAATACAAACAAGAATAACCACATCATTGCATATCACCAAATTATCAGGAATTCTAAATTAATCTAATCTAAACTAAATAGAGGGTATTTTTTTTTTCTCTCTCTCTCTCTCTTTAAGTAACTAACCCTAATTTATCTTTGAATACAAAGTCTGGCAATTTTCTTATTTCAACAAAATAGATTTTATTTCAACAAAATAAATGCGAGAAGCATTTTTTTTTTAAATAGTGCTTTATATATAAAATTTTATAATCAAAAATTTCTAAAAATTCAAAATACACAGCTTACTTCTACCGGATACCGGTCGTCTTAGAAGTCACTGTCGTCGTGCGATTCGCAATTTCCTCTCTCGTCCTCCATAAACTTGTCAAACTGCCCGTCTGATTTTTTCATACGCTCCAAAACCGACACGAGCAGCTTCTTATTCAGCCGATCGGTCTGCGTTATTTCACGCACGACAGATTCGTTCTTCGGTTCGTCCGGCGATCGTTCACTTTGCAATTTCCCTAACACGTTGTTGTCCTGTTCCATCGGAGTCCCCGGCATTTTTCGTTATCGCGTTTACGAATTATTCGAATACGAATGAATATATTCGCGACGATATTTTCGCGCGTTTATCGAATATAAAATATATATTCTTCAGTAGAGAGAAAGCGTTCAGTTCCACTTAGTCATAGGAAATAACATCAAGATATAAAGTACATGTAAATATATGAAATGTCATCTAAATCGATATCAGCTGTAGCGATGAAAGGTAACGGAGTCGATTGTTCGACTAATCGATAGATTTTATTCGATGTTTACATCGTGTATTATCGTTTCTTTGATTGTTTTCTTCTTTGAAATCAAAGTTTATGTTGTTTTGTTTCAGTGAAAAGTTCCGAATTAAATTTGAAACTGTATCTTATATATAAGTAAATGTTTTCTATACAGCATACATTGACAGTGTGGAATTCAAGGAAAAAGAAGACATTGCAATTCTATTTACTATTCTTTTTTCCGTCATAACCTCGTATAAACAAAAAAAAAGTAAAAAGATATTATTACAAAACTTAAATCTTTATTGATTTCTGCTTAAATCCTGCCAGCAACAATTGATGGATCAATTTCGTTGATAAAATTGCAAAATTCGTCTTAGATAAAATTTGCTTGTATTTTTTACCTTTTTTAAATTTTCCAGGATATTCAAGATGTTGGGATATGATTTTATTAATAACATAAGATGATTCGTAAACTTCAAAAATAATAAACTCAATATTTGGATCAGGAGATACGACTTATCGTCGGCATAAATAAAAAACGTGACTGGAAGTATATTATTCGAATCAGAGATTTCCACGATGACGAGAAGAAAACATGCGACGCGAAAAACGGTAAGGGTGCCAAGAGGTTGATTTATCGATGCCAAATTCAAAAACTAATAAAGTGATCTGAAATGATCCAACTTGTCGAGAGCGTAAATATCTCAATCAGACACGAATGCCGTCCAAGACCGAGTGTTTGCTTGTTTGTAATAAAATTGGAGAACTCAAATGCATCCATTAATGCTTCCAAATTCATCGATTTATCGATCACTTATTACAATGTGTCCGATAAAATATAAATTTAAAGTATAAGTTTCATATTATATTAAATGTAATTATACTTTTATAGTTTTTAGTCAGCAAACATCCAATGCAAATAATTATATAGTCAATCGTGTAATTGTGATATTTATCTCAATTTTGTTCTTTTAATCAAAATTAATGCTTGAAAAAAATACATTCAAATAAAACTCAAAATTAAACGATTATATTAAATGAAAAATGTGAAAAATGAGGCTATTGTAATTCAAATAAAGTACCGGTTCTCTTTTGTTTATGTCGCATACGTTTATATACGCACATTCCAATGAAATCTTAGGTGCTAAATATATCAAAATGCACTAAATTAGTTTGTTTTCAAAGCAGATAAACAAATTGTATTTTTGCTTCGAAGAACAAATAGCATATTTATATTCTCGGCTGGTTGGCGAATTAAGCTGTATAATGGATTATAATTCCTAGTCTGTCGCTATTTGCAATCTTTTAAAAAATTGAAATGAGAATCAAATTTCAAAGAATTGAATTAAAAAAATCAATAAACGAATTATATTGTTCAATTAATTTCAAACTAACTTTAATAGATTTTTAACTCTTGAGTGATTGCAAAGTTTAATATGTAATGAACATTTTTGCTAAAACAATATTTATAAGAGACCAGATCAAAGTAAGGGAAAATGTTATCGCAAAATGATATGATAAAAATACATAGCTCTATTCGATTAACATACAGCGAATTTGAGTGATGTTTTATATAAGATTAATTAAGCATCATCAATGGATGACGCATTTAAGCCACAAAATATAGAAATATATAAACGAAATATACATATACATATATGTATATAAGACGGTTGTTTATTGTTTTCATGCAGAGCACTGTCCGCGCAGAGATTTTCTACTGGCAAATGTCCATGCGCTCTTTTATACCTCATCGCTCATTTTGATCCTGTCAAAATGTCCGGAAATCTACTTGGCACATGTTCGCGAAAATACACGAAATATGTATCTTACTGTACTTTACATTTTTTCACCATACGTGATATTAAATCTAATTTCTCGTATATTAATACGCAAAAATTAACGATATCTTAAAAATTGCTTCACTTTTAATATCTTGCAATTAATTAATTAATCGATTTAATATCTTGTAATTAATTAATCGATTAACTTTAATTAATTAAAAAGAAATACAGAATGAACGTTATGAATGAAAGTTATGTTTCTCAATATCTAATCTAATAGAAATATTTCTTCAGAAGCAAAGAAATTGTCAATTATATAAAATCAACATCTATCCTTTTTAGCATTAATTATGAATCATATTGACATATTAATTAAATTTATTCGCATTTGTAGATATGCATTATAAGAATATAATTGAATAAATAATTTTAATCGACATTTGATATAAGAATTGCTATATAAAATATGAAACGTGCTTCTAAATAAATTTTCTTGTCATTCTCATTTTAAAACAAATCACCAAATATTCGACAAATCCAAGAGTGTCAAATTTGTATGATAAATTTTGCTGCAATATTATATTTATGATTATGGCGTAATACAACAGCTGTAACTCTTGACGAATATTCGTTGAGTAAATTATAATTCTATCCAGATTCTATATATTATATTCTAACAAGAGAATATGTATATATCATATATTTTTGCAATAATGTGTAATATTGAAAGCGCACAAAAGCAAATAATTATTGTTATCAAATGAAATAATGTTCTCTTGAAAGAAAAGTAATATTCTAATTAATACAATGTATAAAGTGTATCTTATATACAATACATAATGTTACATTCTGATTCTTCGTTGATTACAAGAAAGCTCATTGTTACAATTATTATTTTCGCAAGAAAAATTCAGCGTAGGGCGATTATTATTTTTTTAATTAAATTGTCCGTTGCTTCTATTGTTACGAAGGTTTTTGTCCCGATTCCAAATGGTGAGTCTGACATCGATTTATCCGGTGCACCATACTCTTCTACGTTTTACTGTCGCTTACTCTAACCGCAGGATTTTCATTCTCTATTTTCGTACCACTGCAGTACATCGCTACGTTCTCTCGCAGGAGGGAACGGTTGTAATCATACAATATAAGCGATCTAATAAAAACTTGTTGGAATATCGCGTTTTTATATTAAATATTTGCAAAACTTCAAGTTCCAAAATCCAATGTCAAGCAATAATTTATTTTATTATAATTATCTGCTTATTTGTTTTATTCTATGTACAATTCACACTTTTTACGCAAATAATTTTACAAATCAAGGAATCATTTAAATTATTTTTGAAAGAAATTATAATAGTATCCTTAATTTTACATGGATAATTATATTCGTAATAACTACCAGTTTTGTGTGAATAATTTCTCAAAAAGAAGTGTTTATAGATCTAAATTTTCTTCGCGAATCATTGAGCTTTGCGTCAAAGTTTTTTGATTAATACGCCTTGGCTCAGGATACAAAACAGTACAAATGAATGGAGATGCATATTTAATTAAATATAATCGTATTGAATGGCACTTTTCCTAATATTTCTTACTTTCCGTTAAGATAAAATCTATCCAACATCAAAGAATTTCAAAAATGCAAAATATTTCGTCAGAGAGACTTATTTTTTTGATGATATTGTTTTCTTAAACTTGAAACTTGAAACTTTCTCCTTGTCAGTTTTGAACTATCTTTTAGAGATTATAATCTGAAAATTAATTTCTCACAACTTTTTTTCAGTTCGCATCAAAAGAGAAGAAAGAGAGAGAAAGAGATTGAAGAGATAAAAATAGTTGAATTGGAATAATAGCCAGATGTCTTTCGCCACCGTTATCAGATCTCGCGGGTGAATTCGAGACGAGGAGAAACCCGCCTCTGCGATCTGCGAGAGACCCCCGCGACTGGTAGGTACGTCGTACACGGCGTCCCAGAAATAGCGCAAGCGCCTTCCCGAAAGCTTCGTGGACCATCGAACAGACATGGACCGACGATTGGCTGGAGCTTGCGGGGTGCGGATCGCGACTGGCACGCAACCGCTATATCGTCCTATTCGAATATTACCGCGGCGCCGCGTCGCCTCGCGGCAGTGCGTTTAATCGGCGACCCGCGAAAGAGATTCTCTACCCCCTCTTTGGAATTGCACGTTTTCATATCTTCAGATTCAGACGTGTCAGGCAATTCGTGCGAGACCGCACAGTAATATCTCGGTGTTTTAAGTAGAGTAAAAAAAAAAAAAGAAAGTCCTATCGCGCCATCATCATGGTATGTTCTATCGATGATATTGTAAGTCGTCGCCCTGGTAAACATACACGTTTTCCTACTGTCAATCTGTACTTTAGTTATTTGTTGTATTTTTTTAATCGTCTCTTTCTTTCTCTCTTTCTTTCTTCTTGTCTATCGTAAGAAAAAATTATCTGCACGTCACCGCCTGGGTATTTAACTTTTTAGATCTCTTTCTCTAATCTGTTTCTATAAATATCGTTTGCACTCTTTTTGTTTTATTTTTTATGCATCGTGATTCAGTAATGCTTAACACGTATCACGTAGCTCGGATTTACAATAGTCTAATTAATCTAATAGTAATCTAATAGTATGCTAAGCACGCGTATAAAATATCTGATCGATTGACCATTTATTGAGAGAGATATTTTGGAGCCGTGATGGATGGGATTCTGGAAAAACGTGATTGTTTCTTAGACGGCGAGTCAGTTCGACCGCCACTTTAACATTAGCTTCGAAACTAATACGTATCTTATTGCTTAAAATATATTATTAAATGAAAAAAAATCTTCCTGTACGATTCTTATGCAGAGGTTGATACGATCAATTATGATATGTTTAAAGTGGCGGTTCGGACAAAGTTAATTTTAATGAATTATTATCGGTAAAATCGAATAGAAAGATAATTGAAGCTTTTTGAATAAAACAATGATCCTGTGATAAGGCATAATTATTGCAAAATCATTAAAAATACGAACACTATGCACGATTTACTTTGATAAAATTATAATTCAAAAATTCATTAACTAAGAAGTTCAATTATTCTGCTTGTAATGTACTGCATGCCTGTGAAGACTTCCAAAATATTTTCATAGTAACTAATTTCGAGATATTTTTTGAAGTATAATCCTATATAAAATATTTCTATATTTGAAATCTTCAATTTCAGAAGTAAAGATAAACTCAATTGTTAAAAAAACATCTGTTGAATGAATTTTAACAATGCACGAATGTTTCTACCAAAAGTAACTGCATCGATTTTTAATCGGATCAAATCTATTCAAAGTCTTTAACAAATTGTATAATACTTTCGATTAATAGGAATGATGAAAGTGTTCACCGTGTAGACATCTTTATATAATGTTTATTTTATATTTAGTGTCAATTATAATTATATCGTATTTCTTGCGATGTTTACAGGCTGATGAGTTGCCGGCGGAACAAATTGCCGGTATGTATTCTTAACAGCTCGTTAATCCCTAAAGTAAAATCGCACTAACAATTTCAAACTCATACCGTTTAAAACGAGGTAATCGAGAGGTGTTATTATCTATTATAATCTTGCTATCGATATAACGAAAAGATAGCATATATCTCAAGAAGATTCATGAAATAAACAAATTGTAAAATGCACTGGCCAAAAATGCAGAACAAATAGATATAAATTTAGTCAAGCTTGTACAACTGCCCAGAACTTGAAGCCGTAATATTACGTGTCAAGAATTGATAGAGAAGCTACTTTACGCGATATTATCTGCGATTTACTATTACGATAAATGTAACATTTAATTGCTAAAAAATTATGTCGATTTAAAAGATTTATATACATGTCAATCTTTTCAGTTTCCTTCTCTCTGATAAAGGAAAGATCGTATGGCAGCGTTTGTAAAAGCATTTTCGGCATCACGATAGTTCGTCAAGGATGGTTTATATTAGAGAGAATGAAAATAGAAACCCTTTAGATCGAAAGACGATATAACAGCAATTGACGTCGAGCCCGGATAAATTTTCATTTCGCTTTCGCCGAGTCTTTACCCGAGTTTATTTACGCTTTAATCCGATCGGGGGCAGCTGCGGAGAGTGTGTCTATGTATAGCTATCCCTCGAAAAGCGCACGGGTCTCCCAACCGAGACGAGGGAGTATCTCGCGCATACGATGATCGATTCTACGAATACGCACGTGTATCGAAATGATAAAAATAGGAAGGAGAGAACGAAAAGTTACTCTTTAGAACGGAAGGCCAGAAAAATGGGCGACTGTCGTTTCCAGCTGTTTGCGATCATCGTGTCGGATCACTCAAAGAGAGAAATTTCAAAACGCTTGGAGCAAAATGTGCCCTCTCGCATAAATCAAGCTCTTTCTTTACAACGAAATAACGCACAACTAGAGTGAGAGAGAGAGAGAGAGAGAGCTCTGTATGCTACGAATATAACTCGAACAATACAATTCTCCTCGAGGCTGCCGAAAATACATCAAGGCTCAATTCTTTTCATTTGATTAATAATGGAACTGACGCATTATTTATCATAAAATAAAACAAAAAAGTTTTTAAGATACCACAAAACTCTCCTTCAAACATTTCGTACAATTTTTATATATAGTTAAATTAATATAAATATTAATTAATTTAAAATATTAGATATTGCACATTAATTAAATATTAATATACGTTATATGTACATTTTTTAAATATTTCGTACAAATTATGGCGAATTCTTGTCTATTTTGGCGCCGAGTAATTTTGTGTGTTTGCAATGAAAATGAGAAAGATTAATCGCGAAAAACAGTGAAGTAATATGATACTAGTAAAGTGTCAAAAGCTTGTGAATTTTGGATCGTATAATAATTCAAAGAAATTAAACAACAATAATGATAATCATATTAATTAAAAATAATAATTTAAATTCATCTGACCTCACGAGATCGTATGATACGCGAAATCGCAGATGCGTGTAATTACGAAATTTCCAAAGGATCTTGATAAACAATCCGATCATGTAACCTGCTGCAATGGTGTACCAAGCTAAATAAGCTCAGCGTCTAGTCTAGAGCTCAGCTGGCTAGTGCTGACGGAAGGACATTAACATTCGGTCTAAATCCGTATCGCTGCGGCATTTAATGTCTTTAGCCGGATGACTTATTGTCGGCGAAACTAATCTCGATGAAGAGACTATTCTGTCTTTTATTTGTCTCCTTTAATAATTCTCCTCAATTATTTTTAACTATAATTATAATAGTTATAGCTAAATCTTCGATTAAGATTTATCGAATCTAAAACCTGCTATTTATATTTTATATTATTTCGAGTCTTTTCTTAATTTTTATTATTTTCCCTAAAATTTTCAGAAAAAATTATACTAAAGAATATATAAAATTGTATAAAATATTGATTTTATGATAATTAATTTTGTGTAAAAGATTTCGATATTATAATTGAGAAAATAATGATACAAGAGTGATACAAAATTCTAGTTTCAGAAGAAGAAATTTTTTTATATAAAAATTCTAATAAATATTAATAATAAATATAGAATAAGTCATTTATATTTTGCAGTTCTACGCAAAGCTTTCGACAGCTTCGACAGGGACAAGAGCGGCAGCATCCCCACTGACATGGTGGCTGATATTCTTCGACTAATGGGCCAACCATTCAATAAGAAAATCTTGGACGAACTCATTGATGAAGTTGATGCCGATAGTAAATAATAACATACTATATATTAATACTTCACGCAATTAAAATTAGAAATTAGATTTAATATTTAACGCAATTAAAGCTAGATATTAAAAATACAATAAAGTTTATTTAAAGTATATTAATGACTGCGCAATAATGACATGTTTACTCTTCTATTTTCAACGTGTTTACAAGATTGTTATACGACCTTAATACGAGTTGTTGTCAAATGTCGTGATTTAATTTATTGTATAATTGGCCTCACAGAATTCTATTTATAGAATTCGTAATCTCTTTCTTACACAATTCTTCGCTTGCAGAATCTGGACGACTTGAATTTGAGGAATTCGTCACATTGGCGGCGAAATTTATCGTTGAAGAGGACGCAGAGGCTCTGGAAAAGGAACTTCGGGAGGCTTTCAGGCTCTACGACAAGGAAGGTAGGGCAAGTTGCTCATATAAACAGTTTTAATGGAGAAACGAGGTTTCCCATTATTTATGCACTGTTAACGTTAGGTGATGACATCGCAGGCAATTCGCTGATCGTTTTAGTAACGACTATATTAAATCCAATAATTTCGAAAGCAACGATAAACGTTTAAGAATGCGAAAACAATATAATCCGTTGGTACATTTTGTCATATCGTGTCACATTGTATGATATTATAATTGATTCATTATAGCACTGATTTGGAATTATCTTTTCTAATTTCTAAATATATCTCTGATCATAAATTGTAAGAATGTCCAACAACGGTTAACATTGCAATAAAATTAATTCATTATTTTCATACTTTTTTTTAGAATAATATATTTTAAATCGAAAAATGTCCGATACTGTATAACATTTATCTGTTGCTTTTATATATACAATGTCTTTTCTATATCTAATCTATAAAATTACACGAGGTCTTTCTAAGTGCAAATATTTTGTTTTGTAAAATCAACAAAATCCATCTCGCAATTCTCGAGGAAAGAGACATATGTGACAAAGTATGACAAGGAAACGTCGGGATACAAACAAGCGCATTAAGTTCGTACTATACGTGAATGTAAAAATAAGCCGGCTACGCGGAGATTCCCAACGGAATCACCTCACGTGGCGGCCAAAAGCCAAGAATGTCGTAACACATCTTTCATGAATTACGATTATATCGAAAGCAGTGCGTATCTATTTTAACGTGTGTATGACTGACAACGAGAAGAGAAATTATCCGCTTTACGAAGCGGATAAATTCCGTACAAATCTATTGTTTGTACCAATTGAAGATAATGCTTTTGAACTTACGATTAATAATAAAACAATGTGTAGCGATTATTAATGATCTCTTAGCAATTTTTATGAAATCTAAATTAATCAAATGTTATTTAAATCTGCAATTTTTTTTATTCTTATTTAGGTAACGGCTACATCCCAACGTCGTGCTTACGCGAGATCCTGAGAGAATTGGATGATCAATTGACGAATGAAGAATTGGACATGATGATTGAAGAGATCGATTCTGACGGCTCTGGTACAGTTGATTTTGATGGTACGTTCTATTCTATTTCCTTCTTCTGTTTTTTTTTTCGATAGACAAAAAAAGCATTTTTTTTAAGAAAACAAAATATAGACTTTTGGATGGCTTGGCTTTAAAAAGAAATAATTTTTAATTTTTTACGAAAGCATTTCGTCTCGAAATATTTTCCAATTTTAATGAAATGAAAAATATTATGTTTATCATTGTTAAATTAAAATATTCCCTACTTTATTCTTCTAAAGAATCGGTATCTTATTGCAAAACCCAGTGATTTATTTATATGTGAAACATCTGGCAGATCGGAAATGATCATGAATGATGTCACAGATTTCGTGATCCGCGACTATCTATTTTTATATTCGTATTTAACAAATCGCAGCGATTTATCAAAATCACACGTCCGTTCCAATTCTTGATGAATTTCAGATGTTCATAAATATCGAATAAAGTAATAATTCTGCAAGAAATAAGTGTATTAAAAGTGAATTGAAACTTATTTTCAATCCGCTGAAAAGGCGGAGTTTTAATTTTCGTATATTATCAGTTTGTATTTATTATGAGTGATTAAATTAATGATCTTTAATTTCTGTAATAAAATAGTTTAAAAGTATACCAAATAGTAAATGCATGCATATAAAGGAATTACTTAAACCCAATAGCAAGAAATTTATTATATAAGAGATATGTTAATTATTATTGAAGAATTAAATTAAATAAGATTTTGTCAAAAAGAATGAAAATTAAAAAAATAGAAACGAATAAACAAAAATATTTATAATATACTTTTAAAACAATCCTTGATCTTGAAAATCAGAAACTTATTATCAATTGAATCGTCAGAACGAGAATAATTTGAAATTCTAAAACTATCTAACTAAAATTATCTAATTAATTTAAGGCAAAGCTAAACAAAAATTGCTTGTAAATTTATTGTTTTCTTTCTCGTTTCAGAATTCATGGAGATGATGACTGGTGAATAATTACTTTGAACGAATGATAAATTGCTTTTGGATCCAAAGACATGTGTGCATGCAACCATTACATTTTGGAACTGATCATTCGCATAGTTATGAAAAATCAATGCACAGCAAAAAAATTTATTCCTACAGATCCTTCCATTTTGTGATTAGTCTCGAAAGAAAATTCCTACCATGAACATTACATCGAATGAATATTCCCTGCTTTTATACATACATTATATTTATTGTGGTAAACAAATGTTACTTTCATACTAAATCCTTGTATTTTTTTCATTAAAAAAGTCAATATATATATATTTATTGTTATTAATAAAACAAGATAAAAATCTTATATTTTGATGATAGTATACATAATTTTCCTGAACGTGTTTCGTCATAGATAAAAATTTTTAATATTTCTCGACTTATATCCGAGCAAATCTTTTTTCATGTTGATTCGATTAAGGCTGTTTAACATAGAAAACACATATCTTACTTTTATTATATTATTTTTTAACGAGATTCTTTAGTTAATTTGTAAAATTAACTAAATGTAAAAAAAATTATGTAATCCTGTTTTGTCTATTTTGTTTATATATATATATATATATATATATATATATATATATATATATATATATATATTTGTTTATTTCTTCTTTTATTTTTTTAATTTTTAGATTTCACAAAAATACAAGAAAGAGGAGAAATATCAATATCTCTTATCTGAGAATTATCAGCTAAACCTTTTATTTATTTAACATTCAATTAATCACAATAAATTTGAGATTCTATAATTGACATGTTGATAGTTGCAAACATAACGTAGAATAACATGTTTAAAAAAATATAGTTACTAATTATAGACTAGCAAGTTTACTAATAGCACAGTGATACCTAGTAAGTCTTATAAGTAAATCCGTGAGAAAGTTTTTCTATCTAGATTTTATTTTATATAATTAAAACATTTGTAAAATAACGGCACTGTATTTAGACATAAAAGTATTTATATTTTACTGAAAAATAAACTATATATAAATTGGAATTTAATTTTTATGACTTAGAATATTATTCTGACACATAGATGTGGACTAGATTATATATATTTTACGAAGAAATAACATTATAATTTTAATTGATTTGTCCATCTTTTAACAATGCACGCAGATTTATATATATATATATATATATATATATATATATAAACTGTATTTTTATATTAAACTTTATTTCATTATGTATAATCTCATTATATATAATCTCTATATATAAATTAATATATGGAGAGATTAACTATAATTACTGAATGTAATTTTTAATTATGCAAATATTGGAATATTTTTAAATATCAATGGTCCTCGTAATAAGAGTGAAAAGGACTTTTTTGTTATTTCATGCATTATATATATATAATAATTTTACATATACGAAATAGTTATCTTTTCACTCTAAATAGTTACAATTTCACCTAAATTGCAACAAATAACATCTTAGCACCATAACTGAATGAAAACATTTATGGCAGTTGGAAAACATATCATCGATTTCATGAATTGTGCGCATTTCGCTATTTCCTCTTTACTAAGATTAAAAGAAAATAAGCCAAGATTAACAAAAACTCATTCCATGAGTTTGATTTGTTTTAATAAATTCACAGATCTCTGTATGTTTAGACGAGAGTTTGCAAATCATCTTCCTCTAAATCTTGATCAGAGGATGAAATTAAATGTCACATCTTAAATAAATGTGGAAATTCGTTGCTAATTTCGCGTACTATTTTCTGATCTTCTTGACTTTCTGTTGTTTCTTCGCAGAATATTCTAGAGCAAAATACAAAATGAAAAAAACAAAGCTTAATACAAAAATATTTGCAATAAGTTGTATCACGGCATATAACTCAATCTTACCTTGTAAAACATTTTAACAAATCTTCAGATCGATGGCGATGCTCTTTATAGCTTGAAGTACGTAGAACTCGACGACAAAGTTCTAAATATTGTCTACGCTATTATTAGATTAAAGATTGATATAAATATTAGGTACATATTTAAAATATTTTTCACAAACTCAATGTAAACATTTTTATCATGTAACATAATGCAATACCTTATCACCAGGGAACATATCGAAAAGTTGCCGTAGAATGATATCAATGAGAACTTTCACATCATTGGTATAGAAGAGACTTGCTATGGCATCATTACTGAATAAATCGATAAAAAGCTTCAATACAGAGTGTGGCGGTTGAGGCTCATGATCAAATATTCGTACCGGATCCTCTGCAATGAATTATCAGTTTATTAATCAGTTTGAACATGTCAGTCATATCGGTTTTGTGATATTATTTGCCTTACTAAAATTCACCTTCTCTATTAAAAAGGAACAAAATTTTTTCAGTAAAAGTCTTGGCCACAGTCCGCTCACGTAGAGCATTTAGAACCATATTCTCGGAAGTTGTAAATTGCAGATTGTAGGATAATATTAAATTTATGAACAAGTCTGGAATTTGATCTTCTAAATCTGTATCAGGTGGTGTTTCTATTAAGTCCAGGAGGAACGATATAAAATCTGGACCAAGTTGTTCTATAATAAAATTCATAAGAATAAATATATATTTTAATCTTTATTTTGATTATTATTAATTTTTTATTTACCTAAATGTGTAACTGGCATGGGTTCACCCATTGAAAAGATCATTGTAAGTAGTAAAGAGGAATAATTTAATCTTAATACATTTCTGGGATTACTCCTCATATCTCTACAAAAGCATATCAAGAATTTTATTTACTATTTAAAAAATATTATCAAAAAGTTTTAAATTTATATTGTAGTACCTTGCTAATTCCATTGGTAAAATACTATTTAACATTATAGTTAGAACCACTGAATCTAAACTACACATAACACCAAATGATTGTAACAACAATTGTCTGATAGTCCATCTTGTTTCCATTTGATAATATTGTATTAATATTGTTGCTCCATTGTACCGATCTTGCCTCAAAACATATCTCGATACATTTGCATCAGCATTGGTCTATTCAATAAGGAATATACTTATAAATATTGTTTAATAATAATAAGCAAATGCCTATATTTACATCACATATTTAATGCTAACAATTATAACAATTATACATAATATTCCATATATAAAAATAGAAAAGTAGAAATGCAAAGGGAAAGCAAAGGGTATAATACCTTTAAAAATGTATTGATTTAAACAAAAAAAAATTTAATTGAAGATTAGAAAGAATTAGGAATATGTAATATCGAAATTAAAGTATTAAATATGTGATATTAACATCTTAATTCAAATACTCTATTGGTGTTCATGAAACATACCAATATTTCCGTCAGTTCTTTGATATATTCCACAATGATAGATTCATCTTCATAAAGCATCCAACTCCTTTGCTGTGAATCTTCTTTGCATGAAGTTAGTTCGGTAAAAATTATTTTCAATCTATTAGCATCGTAAGTTTCTTCTATACTCATTTTTGACACAGTCAATGGTGTTTGTAGTTGATGTAACAAAGCATCGAGATAATGACTTATAGTTTCTGGCAGCAATTGTTGTAGGCCAGACACTACCACTGTAACTGCTACTTTTGACATTTCATGACTAAGTTGAGTGTTTTTGCGCACTTGATCGAGTAATTGATAAGCGCTTCGCGAATTGATGGCTTGTAACGACGAATTGCTCTTAACAGGCGAGCCATTTTTAGTTGATGAATTACATTTGATTGGCGAGTTACTACATACAGTTTGCATGCTACTCTGGGAGGAGCTTTTACGAACATCCGTGATCTGCGTCTGGGCTTTTTGCACAGTATCTGAAGATGATTGACGAGGCAGCGATTGCACATGTTCATTTTCTGTCGCTGGTCGTTGAAGGACTGTTTGAACAGCATCTGCATTTGTATTACCATGAAGAGTAGTCCGTGCTGTTACATAAGAAGTATTGCTTGGTGCTGATCTAACATCTGCTTCTATGTTGTCACAAACAGACACCGAATCTGTTTCTCCAGGTATAATATTACATTCCAAATCTGGCGGTTTAGGCGCCTGTCTCTTAAGCTTCCTACTTAATTCAACTTGCTTTTTCTTCTCCACCAGCTGTGCCCAAAGATCTTGCTTGTCAGGAGGGAGCGATTCACCTTGTTTACTATTTTCTGTTTCCAAAGTGATTATACAGTCATCCAAAAAATCAATCAAGAACTGGGGCTGGACCTAGTGATTAATTGATAACAATTAGAAAAAAAAAAAATATATATATATATATATAAATAAACAAAATCGTACCTTCACAGTAGTAACATAATTTGATGGTATATAGCCTAGACGTCCTCCTCTATTTACAACTTGCCACCAATTCTTCTGCTTGACATTACGCTGCAGCAAGAGGAAATGCTCGCCCACCCGGAAGCTGAGAGTCTTGGCAAATGTGGCCTTGAAGTCGTACAAAGCTTTAACTACCTCGTGTCCGTTATCCGTAGCTACGCAAAATAAAATACGACCAGAAGAAATTATATATCTCGAAGATGTAAAAAAAACCGGCTCTCCAGAAAATGCAGACGTATGTACCAAGCTCTCAACTCACCTAACCTTGCACTATTATCGTCCATCATGTTAGAAAGTGAAACGGTTTCACGCCAGGCAACGCCCGAAAGTGACAATTGGAATGTCGGAGAACCACCTACTTACTTTCATTTACGCGCGCCGACATTTTATCCATTTCATTTCCGCCTCCTACTTGCTTATTTTTTGTCAATAGCTTTTTATCGCTCGGTCGAGTTCTGTCAACGTTGTGTGCGTATGCATCAACACACCACCACACAGATCGCGCTTATTGCCGCAAGAACGGCACGTTTACTACCGCCATTCACTCGCACGTTCGAGTTGCAAGATCTTGCAAATTATCGATCGCAATGCATCATTTCCCTCGACCTCGATGTTGTTTTTTATTTCAATTTTTACTTACACATTTTCTGATTTCATAACAACGTGTAACGACGATTATACAAAATGAGAGAATCATAGAAATGAAATTAAATACACAAATATCTTAAAATTCTCTGCTATTTTAATAAAATGTATAAATTTTCACCAACGCTAATTTATCGCGTTTATAAACAGACTAAATAGTTTTTATTAAACTAGTAATACATATACACACAAAAATATGTAAATAGGAAAGATTTATTAATGCTTGATGATAATCTATATTACATTTGATAGAAGTTATGATATACTTAATAAGTAGTTCAAGTCTTCTATGTATATGAAATGAAGATCTGAGATGTAATAAATTATGTAGAATCAAACATACCGATACCCAACAGTAAATTTCTACGTGAAAAATGTACTGTCAGGACAGATGTATTTTTTGTAGCAAAAGTACGCAACAAATAAGATTCTGCATTAGTCTTCACATCTGGATTGTGAGAAACATTTACATCTTCTAAGCTCATCTCTTCTGCTAATTTTGTGAAATCCCACAATTTTAATGTACAATCTAAGGATCCTAGTAAAATGACAATTTATTATTGACATCTATTTCGTTTAATTTAGACAAATTAATAGATAGAGTAAATACCTGAGACTAGAATATTGCCGTCTCGACTAAACGATAGGCAATGAATATTATTTGTATGACCCGACAAGGCTGCGACAAGATGACCATGCGCTAGATCCCATACGAGTACGCGATGATCGGCACCGGCTGAAGCCAAAAATCGTCCTTCTGTTGAAAAAGCTAGAGAAAAAATCGGTCTCTTGTGTCCGGTCATTAATCGAACTTGACTGCCAGTCACACAGTCCCATAATCTTACAGTCATATCGCTCGAACCAGTCGCGACATAATTCGAATTTGGATGAAATTGAATTACCTAAGTCCAAAAATATATAAAATAAGATAATAATCGATCATTTTTTCAACTAACAATTAAATAAACTTGATCGATGTCGATAAATGTTAACTCACATCGACATCTGAATAATGGCCAGCGAATATTCGTAATGGTTGATGAGAATCAGTTGCCCATAGTCTAGCAGTTTTATCGTTTGAAGCACTTGCAAAGTAATAACCATGCGGTGAGAATCTTACGCACCACACGGGAAATAAATGGCCTTTGTAACATACAACGCATGTCCATGTATGGAGTGACCATAGTCTTACTAAAAAAAATTAGAGATTAAAAGTTATCACAGAAATTCTTTAGAGAGAAAAAGAGAGAGAATTGAAATTAATATTCTAAGAATTACTAACGCAATCTTTATACATCATTCGCGTGCGTCTATGTATTATATTAAGAAAAATATTCTTTACATGTTTGTTAAAAAATTATAACTTTTGATTTTTATTTTCTTGTACTTTTGATTTATATTTTTATTTTATTGTGAACCACTTAAAATGTATACATATATATATATATATATATATATATATATATATAACAAATTAATTAATATATAGATATACAACATTATATATGAAACTCACTTGTAGTATCTTCTGCTGATGAAAGTAAAAGATTTCTATCTGGACTAAATGAAAGGCTATAAATTGGTCCACTATGACCATACAGATTTTTTGTAGTTTCAGATGTTCTATCATCCATCATTCTAACCAGCACATCCTCTGGAAAGTTTTTTATATGCTATTTATATATGTATTATTATATGTATTATTATATGCTATTTAATATACACCTTAGAACAACATAAATTGAATTTTATTTCTACCTGCTTCTCGCTCGACGTCTTGTAATAGTTCACCCGTCTTCATCAATCTCAATTTTTGTGGAACTAAACTCCAAACTTTTATACCAGAATCACTGAACCCAATAGCTAATAAACTTGAATCTTCTGCTACTTCTGCTACTGTTACGCTAATATTACAATATAATTGCAAATGGATATTAAAGAAAATGTTCTTCATACACATTCATACTACATCTACTTACGTATGAACTGTATTCAGCAATGTATAAAAACATATAGATGGTAGTGTATCAGGTCCCAGAATAACTCTTTTTGACGCTTCCCTCAATGCCTTAACTTTTTCAAGTTTATCCGCATCTTTCCTAAAAATATGATTTATATGAAAAATCATAGGAACACAATCCTTAAGAAATGCATTTTATCTTACAGATTAGGTAATGGCATTCTACCAACAGGTGGTGCATTTGGATCTGATTTGGTTTTTTTTGAAAATAAAGGATCTTTCTTAGCTTTCTTCTTTTTTGGTTTATCTCCATCTCCACCACCTGTATCGTCCTCTTCTTCTTCAGCTGGTGCTACACACTGAATATCTGGTTCCTTTAAAAGTCCATAATAAACTTTGGCCTTATTATCTATAAAGTAACAATTTTGTTAATAGACATTTTCTGCTATAATGCAAAGATAAAAAACAATTCTCTTGGAAAGATGAAACAATTTTATTACCTTGTCTAGTAGCTTCACCCACCATAGCTCCAGATGTTGCGTCTATTTGTTCTTTATTACGAGCAACACCCTCATACATGTCAAGATAAAGGTGCTCCTGTATAATGTTTAATAAAAGATTATGTTTCTTCTCTTGCAAATGTCGTTTTAGTATAGAAATTGTGTCTCTTGACATTCTAATTATAAACTGATTAGATCTGTAAATAACCATAATATGTTTATAACATTTGATTATATTATATAATACTTGATTATATTACTTTTTTTCACAGACACACTTACTTAAAAGTATCAATAAATTCATTCTCTGCCATTTGCTCTCTTTTTGTTACATTAGATAATCTTTTCAAGTCATTTTGATAATATTCTTCTAAACTTCCACCAAACTTTTCCATGAGCTGTTTTGCTTCTTCAGAATGATTATTGTAAACCAATTCTAGATATGTATGCACTAAAACTGGATATAGTATGGTCCCCAATTCATGCTATGGCAAATACATATCATAAGAGAGATATTAAATTATAAACTTATAATATATTGTCATACTTGGTACATATACTTTATATTCATAAATTTCAATTTTTATAGTTTTTTATACCTTATAAATATCCAAAGCTCCTTCCACAAATTTCTTCAATTCGCTATATGCTTTTTCATACTGTGCAGGATCCCCTTCGCTCTTGTAAGCACGAAGAACACTATTTACCTCTGAATCAGTTTTCTGAGCTTCTTCAGCCGAAATATCTGTAAGATTAGCTTCTTTTCTAAACAATTCTTCGGTCCCCTAAAGAAAAGTATAAAAAAAAGATTAATAGCATTCTCCTATCAGTTTAATTATACACAATTTATTTATTATATCTCATAAAATAACATTTATTAACACTGGTTAGAAGAAGAATAATAAGAATAAAGAAAAATAGAGAATAATAAGAGAAATAAGAGAATAATACCTCAAGAGAGAAGTAAAAATTAACTTACTTTTAAATTGTACTTTTTCAAGAGCTGTAAAACAGCGAGCATTGTGCTTTTATCGTTATCCATCTTTATGTGCGAATGTTAATAAAGTATTATAGGATCTCTTTCTGTGAAAAATAGGAAATATACAACAGAGGAACCTAACCTAATCTTAAAACGAACACTAAAGGTCGTATTACATTACAGATGTAGGCTTCGTTGCGACTGGGATTACGATTGACAGTTTTGACCAATCAGTCAGCAAGCTGCTTGGCTTTGATTGGTCTAAAGAAATCTTTACTTCTTTTGTTCTGATTAGCCAATCAAACGCTTCAAAGCATCCAACATTAATTTTCCTACAGAATTTCTTTATTATTAAATTGTAGATTAGTTTTAAATAAAATAAAAATATGTTGAATAAAGCTGTATTTTCCATTTATATAATATAAATAATACAAATTTAATTAATAAGCATAATGTTTTCTATTTCACATCATACTTTAACATTAAATTCTATTAACAGCAATTTTTTTCATCTATATTCAAAATTTTGAATCTCACTCTATTATACATATTCTGATGATATTTAATTCTTTCAAGAGCAAGCAACTGGATCAAGGTACGATAGTAATTTTTTTACGCGATTATTTCAATATATCAGGTACTCTCTGTATCCTGTTCAAGTATCGTTGCATGAATTTTTAAAATCACACAATCTTTAAAAAGGGAGCGAATCTCCGTAATTGATTCGCTGTTCGATATTTCGAGAATCGCAAGCGGCTATCCACCAATAGTTGACGCGTTCCAACGAGCCGGGCGCAGTGATTGGCCCGTTGTAATGAGCCGAGCGCAGTGATTGGCCCGTTGCAATGAGCCGAGCGCAGTGATTGGCCCGTTGCATCGAAGGCATCCGTAGCTTCGAGAATCGCAAGCAGATTCGATACATAAGACGGTGCGACTCGCGACGCGGTAGGTCGGATTCGAAAAATTGCTCCGTGTTTTTCGCAATTCCGCCGATTAATCGAGCGAGTTTCGCGCGTGAAGCATCGTCGGGAGTGCCGAGTGAAATGTGAGCGGCCGTCGTTGCATTAAATGTCACTCAATTAATCGCGCGTCGATGTCGTAATCGGTTGTGATCGCGCGCGTCAAGTCAAGGCGTGAAGTCGAGAAAAGTCTCGATTCGAAAATTCTCTCCGAGAAGATTTCTCCGCATTTTTTTCTCCGTATTTCGAAACTGGATTTCGCTTATAATTCGTCATCGTCGCGAGTGTCGAGTGAATAAATAAAATATGCTATACATATAATATATAGTAAGATATAAAGTAGCAAAAGTATAAGTGTGGTGCATCAAGTGCGAACGAGCCGGAGCTGCTTCGAGTTCGCCAAAAGTGAAATAAGTGTTAGCGAAGGCCGATCGCAAGGATATGGGATGCATCGATTGACAGTGATCACCGGATTCATGGATCAACGTTGCAGATTTCTCGAGGATGAGTAAGAATGATGGAAGGTGGGGGAGGAGGATCTCAAGATTCGGATTATCGGATATCGATGCAAGAACGCCGCGATTGGTAAGTATTTTTTACTTATAATTTCAATACCGCTCTGTTGATAAAACTCGGAGCAAGTAAAATCGTGCTTTACTTTACCGTTTATGGTAATCTTTTTTTTTTTCGCCTTTTTTACGCTTTGTTATCGACGAGATACCGTTAGGTATGTAAATGATTTATATACAAGCCACCATGTAGCGCTAGCATTTTGAGAAACTGCGATATTTGTGCTCCAGAACTGATATAATATATATATTCCTCCAAGATATTTAAATATCATATACATTAAAATTTAATATTATAAATTTTTTCATATTCATTAAAAGTATTATTATTAATTATTCGTCATATAAAATATAATCATAATATAAACAAATCGTGTTTTTCAAATTATCATGAAATTTAGTGAAATTTGTAATAATAAACTTATTATAAATTTACTTGAATTTTGGATACTCTACAAGCGTTAATAATATATTAATAATATATTAATAATATTATTTTATATCGAAATACACAAATATCAAAGAATTACATTAGAATTTTACAAGACAAATTATTATTTTTAACTCTTTTATTATTGATGGGATAAGTGAAAAATGTTTCTAAAGGTCTCTGAATGTCATTTAAAGTGCATGTTTGCGCCTAAACAAGTAAACCTTGTTAAAATGATTATTTGCTCATTAAAATATTTTTGTTTGACAGTTTATTACATACATTGTGCCAGTATAGAAATATCATACAAATCCGAAGATGCTTGAACGAATTACGAAACCGTTAGATCTACGTATGTTTTTTTTTTCTTTTTTTTAATCACGTATATGTACAAGAGAGCGGTGTGTAGATTTTACACAAACACCCAAAAAGGCTAGTAACGCATCGTGCATACGTCCATGGTGAATTTTACGTATCTTTTTTTTCATTAAATGAATAGTCGAAAAGTATTATTTACAATTTGGTGGATTATTCGCCGTTACTTGTTAAGCTTTGCACGTTTTCTTCATGAAAATATATGGCAAAGTTCCAAAAGCACATTCCTAGAAAAAACATTGAAATAATGATCTTGAAATTCGATACAAAAAAATTGAAAAAATAATCATTATATATATAACATTAAAATCCTCCTTCTTTTATTAACTTTTAAGATGCTTAATCCTGGAAAATTCGTTTCATTCGAAATCAGTTATAAATGTACTAATGCAACATTTCCAGAAAATTTAATAAGTTTAAAAGAGTGCACAAAGAGTCTAAAATATCTTCTCGAGACAATGTTTTATTGAAATATATCGACAAGAGTTTTAAATCTTTTAGAATTTCCTCCAGTAATAAACTCGAGGTACTTAAATTCGTCCCAGGATCTGAATTATCAATTTATATTTAAAAATAACGTGTATCAAAATAAAAAAATATATATAAAATATTTTTTTAATGTTACTATTTATATTTTCAATTCAGACAATTGTATTTTAAATAATTCTAATCATTTTTGCGGCGAAAGTTGAATTACTAGGTCGGTTTTTTAAACGACAAAATGTTTTAGCGAGACACAGAAAATATTTAATGCGAAATAGGCAAATGATTAATTATGATATAATTAATTATGATTAATTATAATATAAAATTTAATATATTTACGACTTTAAGACAAATACGTAAAGCGGTAAAGGTAACATTAAAATTGCATACAATAGATAATTTATTTTGCGCGTTTTGTTATAAATCTTCCTAGTTTACTAGAAAATTGCCAACTTTATAATATAATTATTGAATACAAGATAAAAAGGAATTTACTTTTTAAACATAAAAATTTACTTCCTAATAATATAATTTTTAATTTCTCCGATTATTCACAATCGCATCTGATTAGAATGAGTAGACAGAAATCGGAAGGAAAAATAGAAGAAAAATTAACAAATATGAAGCTAAAAAGTCTTGCTTTAAAGATCATTTATAATTTTGCGTTACAATTAATTCCTATCAATTTTTTATCATTTAATTAACTTGTTTCTTACAAGGCGACTTCGATTGCACGGTTTGTCAAAATGCAGCTTTCTTTATGCCTAATGTAATTAAAGGAGTACCGCTCCCTTGTGCTTCTTCGGTAATTAAGCGTAATCATCCATTTATTTTAAAACCGAGGCATGTGTATCATAAGTACAGAATCGCTCCTTTCGTTTAGACATACAAATTTGAAAGATAATACAGAATATATCGACGATGACAGCGCGGCAGCTCTTTCTCTCTCTCTCCCTCTTTCTCTCTCTCTCTCTCCCCCTCTCTCTCATCGAGGATGGATAAATAAATCGCGTCGTATGGCAATATCTTCCAAGCATATTTCTGCCGTTGTAAAACTTAACATAATTGGAATAATGCGCAATCGTTAATATAAATTTACATATAACATATGTGCCTATATATATATAATATATTCTACTATTCATATTCTACGCTACAACTTGCGCCTGAGTACATCATGGTTTAACATTGCTTAGATTTACAGCAATTAGCAACTATGTACAGTGTATTTTTCCAGTGTCGGATGTCGGGATCCTCTCTTCTCTCTCCTTATATACACGTGGTCAACGACATGTGTCTAAAATTTTTGTTTCGTCAAGAATTCGACAAAATTGATGTTGCAATTAACAGGAATATCGCGGCGAACTTTTGTCAAGATATTCGTGACGTATATAAACGATAGATGTAATACATATAATAAAAAACTGATAAGAATTATATCAAAAAAAAATAACAAGAGAATCAAAATAACGTTTAGTCTGACAAGAAAACCGTCGATGATTTTACGTCATTCAAGCTGGATAAATCGTAGGATGTTTCAAGTTGTTTGCGTTGAAATTTTCAAGTGCCTAGTGAGATGATTGATTTTCTGTCGTCACGTTGAAATTGTTACAATTGAAAGGGAAATATTATAAGTGTAAATGTCAATTTGCGAGATAATGTCCCGAATAACAATATTATCTCCTCCCCCCCTTTTTGCCCGTTGATTTCATATATGTATATCGGAAATCATGTCGTTCCCGCGAAGCATCTTTCTCCGAATCCCGACGTGTCCCGTCCCGCCCCGAGCCTTGTTTGATTATCGTCGAAGAATCGACGTGTGAGACACGAAGGAGTCCTTTGGTATCTGAAACTCGTCGAGTGCGCGCAAGCGTGCGTTTCCGGTTCCTATCGAGCGCACTTCCGGTTCCCCGTCAGATCCGCCGCCGCTGCAACCATCTCGCTGTTACGACGAGCACCACGACGAGGGTAGCTACGAAGGCGAAGGACGGCGGGCTAGTCGTCGCTTTGCATCCGTCACATGCACGACACTATGGACTTCCCGTATCGTGGTGAAACGAGTCACTGTCACTCTCCACGTAGGTCACGAAGCTGTCGGTGCTGTCGGGATGCTGGCCCATATCCGGTCCGCCGCCGCCGCCCGGATGATGAGGCCCTGGCGGCGGTAAAGGTCCACCCCCGCCATCGCTCATCGGCCCGCCGAGCATCCCCGGGGGCGGTAATTGCGGTGGCGGGCCTCTGTGCATCTCGTAGCCGTGCATCTGCAATTATCACAGATAAATGGGTCCCTCCAATTTTTTCTTTCAAGTAAAAAATTGAAAACGCGCAAATATATTTTTCTATAAATCGTATCTCTTTTTTTAGACATTTTTTCTCGATCACGTTAGAGCCAGGAGAGGCTACGGCTGTTCTGTGACGCGTCGCGTTTTACCTGGGACATCAAATGATGGAAAGACGGCGCGTTGGGATCCAGTCGCTCCAGGTCCGTATGAAGGGCAAACTCCGAGAGCGCCTCCCAGGGTGGCTTGTAAGCCTGGACCTCTAGCGGCGTCATGCCGATAGGACTTTCGTGTCTCACGGGGCTGCTGGCAACCATGGGAATGCCATGCATGCCGCCGAAACCCAACTTACGCCCGTCCTGAAATAAAAAGTGCTTGGATCCATTAGATCGTTTCGCTTCGATTCGCTTCTAATTTGTAAATGCTCATCGACGCGATACCCTTTCTCTCGTCGCTCTCGACGTCATATTAATCTTTACCTTCTCTTGCATCTGCTGCTTCAGAGCGATTGTCTTCTTCTTGTCCTTGCACCTCTTGTTCTGGAACCACACCCTGATGACGCGCGGACTCAGCCCGGTCATCTCGACGAGCTGCTCCTTCATGAGGGCGTCCGGGCGCGGATTCGCGGCGTAGCAGGTCCTGAGGGTGTGCAGCTGCTTCTCGTTGAGAACCGTGCGCACCCGCGTCGGCTTCCCGTCGGATCCGCCGCCGCTTTTGTGGCCACCCGAGCCGCGGACGCCGCCGACGCCCGCCTTGTGCGAACCGCTCTCCGACCCGGAATCTGCAAACACGCCGAGAGCTTAGTCTTTTGTCCTCTTAGTCCACTTGGATCTTAAATTCCAGAGAGATATATAAATACGTATTTCAAATGTAACATCAATTGTTATCGTTAATATAATATCCAGGAAACATTTTAAATGAAAAATACGCGCTAAATGAAAATGTATGCAAATGTACAAGGTAGTATAAGATAATTTCGACATACATTTGACGTACATGTGACATAAAAACAATTATTCCGTATAACGCAAGAGTTCTATCTAAGTACTCATTTGAGGAAATTGGAATATTATACATATGTATGTAACGTTGAAGTAATATCGTATATATACACTTTTTGAAAATGTGTCTTTTGATATCAAGCGAAATTATTATATGTATATAGTACGATAAAACTAGATAGAACTACCCGAACAAAATTCTTTCGCGCATAAAGTTCGATTCTTCTGCATTCCTTATATATTTCTCATCGAAAATATTTTTTATTCTCCACAATATTGCAATTTTATTCACAATGAATGCTTCACTATAATTTTCAACGTTTTTTGAAACTCTATTTTTGATGACTAATAGATTTTATTGTTAAATTAAAAATATATCGAAATCTTCCACGTATCAAAATATGTCTAGAGTACTCGAAAGACTATAAATATAATATATATATATATATATATATATATATATATATATATAAACAAACAGTAATTAATAAATTGTATTTAAGATATCGGGCGACTCGATTTACTCTGTGTGGCCTTTGTATAAATAGATATTAATAGCTCGCGGAAGAATAGGTGGATTAAAAGCCGCAGAGACGTTTTCGCAAAATTAATTAGTTAATCTAATGGGTCTCTCAAGACTCGATCAAGAGGTGCTGTCACTTTTATGATGGCAATAAACTGACGCGAGTGCGCGCGAATTACTCCGACTGAGAAATCATAAACTTGGAAATGGCCGACAGAACTTTCTCGGAAATATCCCCACGATATCTGCAGGAGGAGTAGTATCGGGCAATCATAATAAATATCATAAATCTCTCGGCGTGCTTTTCCGGATTGCCCGTTAACGTTTTTTCCAGACCGATCGCGAGAGATCCGAGCCAAGAACTGCCGTTTCCCATTTCGTCCAGATTTATTCGCACGAAAAAAAAAAAGGAAGTTCGCGAGGCAGAAACATCTCGGGCACGAGGGTAAAGAAGAGAACACGCGGTACGATTCCAGCCCATCCGCGGGACCATCTTCCTAACCGGTCTTGCAAAACGGCCGAGAGCATGGGGGGCTAATGGGAGATCCGGATACTGGTCCAACATGGCGGACGAGGAACGCGCAAAAGGTACCGACACGACGGAGGGGGGAGGAAAAGGAGCCGGTGCAACAATCAAAAAGACAATAGTTCAGATGAACAAACGAATCCGTCGTGATTTCTCGATCGTCGAACGACCTTGGGATCGCGGGAACATTTCGAGCGTCGCGGAGATTGATTAGCAGTCGCAGTCGTAACGTTTTATTTGTGGAAACGAGTTTTGTATTTTTTTTTTTTTTAGCGAAAAATATCGCGTTTAATTTGTCCGTCTGGCACTTCCCTCCGAATAGTAAAGATCTAAAAAGGTGCGAATAATTTTGGAATCGCTGCAAAACGTAGACTACACGAAAAGAATATAATATGTTTTAAAATATTTTATAATATATATAAATAAAATATAAAGTATTTTTATAATAATTATATAATATTCTGAAGCTATAGAAAAACACGTTGTTCTTTCTGTAACAATTTTTGATTACTATAAAATCCCGAATATAAAACCCCTATCATATTTTTGTGGCTTCTTCTTTAAATATCTTTGTGAATAGTTTAAACTTCAAACTTTATCGTTACATAAAATAAACCTAACGATACAAGACACGTCGGAGACGAAATTTAAGACGGAAATAAAATCATTTCGCATGATTTAGCAAAATAGTTGACTCATCCCATAATATTATTTGACCTGATCATCTGTTGGTGCATCTTATTGTTAGATGACATCGGGATAGGTGCTTTAGCCACATCACGTGGCTCGAAATCTAGTAGGTCTGCCTAGCAGAAAGACGCGGAAAGCCAAGAGCACACTACAGGAGAGAACAAACGAAATCCCAGTATTTCTGCGTCCTAACCAAATAGCGGTCCCAGTTGGCACAAGCAAGAACGAAACCCGCGTTGACACGGCGGCATGACGATAAGAAAAGCGAGTAAAAAAGGCTCTCGATCTTTGAAAGATCACATAGGTAGATCATATCGCGTGATTTTTTTCCTTTCTAAATAAAACGCGAATGAGAGCTGTGCGTGAAGAAATATTTTGCACATCACAAGTTAATCGCGAGAATAATTTTGAGGGAAATTAAAAGTTACATATACGAGTTCTCTCGAAATTCGGATTTTTTTATATGAAAAATACAAGAATTTAAAAAAAATATTTTTAACATTGATCAAAAATATTTTTTTTATTATGTAATCCGTATTAATAATTTTCTCTTAATTTAGAAGAATTTACATATCGCAAATTGCAACTTAAAAAAAAGAAGATATCCCTTAAAAAATATAATAAAATTTATCTTCTCAGTTATTTTAAAAAACAAAATCATCAAACGCTATAAATAAATTATAGATCTCCTCTCTTTTCTATTTCAACGCCATAAAATAAAACCTCGCGTTGTCAAGAAGGACATCGCTAATTTTCGGCTGGAAGCGAATAGTTTATTAGGGTTTATTAATAATTCGAGGTTGTACACACACAAAATGTCCACCGAGTTATTAATTATTCGGTGACACACATACACGCGATCGGGTCGTCCGCGGGACATCCAGCACGCTAATAAAGAAGATAAGAATAAGAAGGAACAGATCGTGCGTAGTTATGCGCGACAGTAGTTGGCAGGGTGGTGTTACATTTGGCACCTCGGCAGCGTTCTAAAGACACACTACCGTCGGCGCGAGATGGTCCAATCTTTTTTTTTTTTTCGTTCCTATAGAGAACGATGTTTGCGCGCGCGCGCGCGCGACAATCTCGTGACGAATCACAATGACAAATATGAGAGGACGCGCGCTGGTCGCACACGAGTTATTTGTAGAAGGAATTAGTATATCGGGTAATTATATACCGACACGTTTGTCGTTTGCATTTTGAAAGGGAGAGAGAGAGAGATGAGGAGGCCTTCGGGGAAGGACATGACGGAAAACGGTAGCCCATCATCGTACATACATGCCATGGTTTCTCTTTTTCTTGATCGTTACGTCATGTTAGTTTGATCGTTCTTTTACGATTTTTATAATTACTAAAAAAAAATTAATTTCATTCCGAACCAGAAGATAATTCAGAAACTTGTGGAGGATCTCGATGATTTTATAATTCAATGAAATTTTGGAAATACCGAAGAAACTATCGTTCTTACATTTTTATTACAACGAAACAAAATCGAGGAGATTGTGAACTGTTGTGAACAATTTGAATGAAAAGTGTATGATGCGTATAAAAGAATACGCGAAAATTGTGTTTATATTTATTCGCATAATTCTAGATATATATTTTCGAAAAAATATCATTATTTCAGCCCTATTTCATATTCGAAATATCCGAATTTTCTCTTAATATAATAAGAGAATTTATGATCATTCGCTGTCAAGTGAATTTATTTTTAAATATTTATATATTTATATGATTTCCATTTTCTTTTGTATATATACGAAATAAAAATTAAAATATATTTATTTCAATTCTTAGAGCATTAAAATATTACTCAACTAAAAGATTTTATGACAGAAATTGGAAGAGAATTATACTAATTTTAAAGCGTGTAGATGTTCCTAAATCACTTCATAGCTCTCATTTTTTTTAAAATTGTCTGATCTCGATCTAAGATTGCGATATCTCAACACGCAATTATGCTTTAAATTATATAAAATTAATACTTGTTGATGTTTATTCCAATTCTGATATCGAAAGAGCCCATTTCGATCGTTTCTCGATTTTATTCTCCGAGATGGAAAATCTCGCTAATCCTGCCAATCTTTTTTTACACGTTATTTAAATTTAGCGTCTGAATTTTGACTCTCCGTGTCGGTCGAGTTAATTCACGCGACGGCAATTCAACCGGTCGGTTGGACGTACGCACATTACACGCACATTACAGAGCTACAGGACATTAAGCCCGCGTAATCCCGATACGCGTAGCGCGAGGGTAGTGGTCAAGCCCTTACCGGTCTTAAGGGCTTCAATTATCAACACCTAATTATACTTCTCGTGATCCTAACACAACATCACTGTTAGGAGAGTCCTTTGAGCTCATACCCTCGAGCGTGCACCCTTTTGCAAATTTGGTCTTTGTACACGGATATAATGCTGTGCCTCTCTGATAATCCATAGATATCCGAAGTGTTCATCGCGCGTTTGATGCATGTCGGAAGCTGAATACAATTTCCCCGTGATAATATAATTATATCGAATCTTAATGGCAATCTTCAATTAAAGATAAGAGCTCAACAAAAAAAAAAGAATAATGAAAAGAGGAGTGATATAAATAATGCAACATGTAAAAAACGAGACATAAAAGCGGACTTTCTCTTGAAATATTTTAAATTCAGAGAGCACCTTTGCGAGTATTTTTCAAATTCAAATCCTCGAGTCCTTTGAGAAGATTAACCGCAAACGTATATTTTTTTCCAACTCGGCTATACTTTTATCGTGGAAAATAGGAGAATCTTCTTCGAAAATATCGTATCCTCACCTGACATCGAGCCGTCGTTCGGGTGCAGATGATGATTGTTGTTCGTCAGGGAGGCGTTGTTGTTGTTCTCGCTTCCGGGAATCCCGGCGGCACCGGTGCAGTGCTTGCCGCCCTCGAGGACGTCGTGATCGTGCCGACAGAAGAGGCCGTCCTGTCTCAGGGCGAACTCGTCGCCGGTCTCGAGCCGCCTCATGCAAGCGCAGCATCGAAAGCACTCCACGTGATAGATCTTCGTCTTCGCTCGCATCACGTAATCATTCTTGCTAAAACACTGGCTACACTTGTCGCATTTCGTGCCAAATAATCTGCAACAAAAAGCAGAGTAGGGGGTTTAATCGCGACATGAGCCCATGGGGCGAAAAAATAAAGGAATTATTTTTGCAACTCTCGGAGAGAAATTTCATTAAAAAGTCTAACTTGATACGACGATTGGAAATATTCAGCGGTGCCAATCTATTGCGTATAAACTTGGACGGTAATTCTTCCATTATTCACGCCATTTTATTTCCCTGCCCTCTCTTTCATTTCCCATCTCACCGAGTATCGCGAGGCTGTAAATATTTTCGGTTGGTGAAACAAAAAATCCTGTTCTAAATCCGATAGATGGGGAAACATAAATCGGGAACGAAGTGACTTTTATTGTCGCGTCGTATATTTATTTTTGCGTGCAATAACATTGTGTGCGCGCGAGAGAGAATCAATTTTTTATTTTTTTTTAATAAATAAATTGAATAAATAAACTTACGTGCACATGCAGTGCGTGTGTCTGGGTGTGCGAGGTGAGATATCATGAAATGTCCGATATTCATGTATCGTCGATTGAAAGTATGCCACGATGTAATGCGAGCGAAATTGATGTAACGCGCCAGGATTAATGATCCAGGATTAATCCGCTGGCGCGCGTAATTGATGACGATCCGCGCACGTTGATGTAATCGACATTTCTATCGTCATCGTTATCGTGTGTCGCTTATTTTTCAAAATCAATGATCAAAACTTTCCCCATGTGTGCACATATTATCGGCATCTCCGAGTGTAACGTGATCGAAGCGAAACTTTTGTTTGTCTTCGAGAGACGAAAGAGAATTAATGCTGAAGTTCATAATTGATGGATTTTACAGGCGTTTTTAACGCGAATATCGTCATATCTTTAATACACAGTAAAAAATTGTGCATCCATATTATATTAAAATTTTCTTGTGTCACCATGTTTTGATTAGTACTTCAATGTAAAATTAACATACAACCTATATATTATTATTTTTATAACGTTTTCGTGTGGTATTTATGTCAACTTTATAACTTAACACTTTGTATATATCTCTTAAAAATGGAATATTATTTTGAGTATTTTTAACATAATCATTTTAAACAATCTACATGTCTCAAAGTCGTTTTAACATTCTAAGAAAAGTTAAAGCAAATCTTCAAATAATGTTGAACTTTGACATACAAAAAGTAGTACTTCAATGTAAAATTAACACACAACCTATGTTATTATTTTTATAACGTTTTCATGTGGTATTTATGTCAACTTTATAACTTAACACTTTGTAGGTATATATCTCTTAGAAATGGAATATTATTTTGAGTATTTTTAACATAATCATTTTAAACAATCAACATGTCTCAAAGTCATTTTAACATTCTAAGAAAAGTTAAAGCAAATCTTCAAATAATCTTGAACTTTGACGTACAAAAATAATCAAATTTACTAAAATCAAATGTTTCTATTACAAACAATTCAAATTAAAATAATTACTATTATATGTTAATGTCCTCAACATTTACGAGTTATTGTAACTATTTTTTCATATAATTTTTAATTAATTTGTATGTTATTTTTACATTACACTTAAAATCACAATAACAAAAATAAATATAAAATATTGTGTCCATTATTTAACATTTTTAGTTTGTCAATAAGTAACATACGACGAATGAGTTATTTTAACTTAAAATTTAGAATGGACTTTCTGGGACATGTGAAAAATGTTACGATTAACATTTTTTATTTTTTACTGTGTAAAATCTCGCGAAAAACTCGAAATCTGATCGATAGCGTAATCCTCGATAGCACCGTTCAACAAAATATAATACAAAAGAAGAATATAATATAAATGGAATTATGGAATATAAGTTATAATAAATTATAATAAATTATGATAAATTATGAAATGATCTTTTTCGAAAATTTCTCAAAATTGTGACGTGATGGAAATTAAAAGGAATCGTATTCAATCTAAAAAAAGCTACATAATATAACTATTCTCTCCCGTGTGTATGTATTTCTTTATTAAACTATGTAATAATTTAATGTCGACGTTCCCGAAAGACCTTCGGTAAAGCTTTCATTAAATAAATTTAATTATAAATTTTTTAAAAGGATGCTTTTAATTTAAATCGTTACAATCGTGGAAGTTTATTTAAATTTTATACATTTGAGATTCTACTCTAAAAATTGTCTCATTTGCCCGACTTTTACATTCTCGTATCCAGATGTCTTTTACATCGACATTATCGAAAATGGAAGCGTTCGCGAGAAAAGAAGACAAGCTCGTCAATCAAATATTAAGATTATTCCGATCGCGATACATCGTAATTTAAAAACGTCATAATACAAACAACTTTAATAATCGACCACGTGATTGCTATAATATTTGTAAAAATCGGACACGCACTTTCGCGCGCGAGTCGGAGATGGGAACACCCAGCAGGACACATGCGAGGAGGAAGTTACTTTGGTAATTTGGACTTTTAAACGAGAAAGCGCGACAGCGAAATAACAAACGGCCGTCAACGCTGTCGCTCGAATCCGCGGCCGGATGTGCCAGTCTTCTTCGAGTACGTCGACGTCCTGACGTTCGACGGATCGGCGCAAATAAACCGGCTGCCTCGGCGGAGAAAAATATTTGGTCCAGGTCTCTCGGATTCGTGCCGATGGGTTATTCGGCGGCATTAACCGTCGTAAACGAAAAAGAAAGATCTCCGCGCGGGCGCGAGAGACATTCATCGTCCTTTCATTTTTGGTGCTTCCACCGTACAAAAGTGACATAATGGCTAAATGGATGCATTAGCTTTAATGATCTTAGCAGTGCCACAGGTTACTTTATGCGCACAAACGTGTAAACTATATTTAATTAAAGATATCAAAGATACATAAATTTTCAAACGAATACAATTTGTATTCAGTCTCTGAAAATATTATCAAACTTTATTGATTTTTAAAAAGAAGAAACAATAAATTTTTATTTCAGATTAATTATCTAAAGTTTCATTTTTTTAAATATGTATTCAGTCTCTGAAAATATTATCAAACTTTATTTAATTTTAAATAAAAGAATCAATATATTTTTATTTCGGATTAATTATTTAAAGTCTCATTTTTTTAATATTATAAAAATTCTTCAGGAATAATTTCCAGCATTGCGTGATGCATTAGCTTTAATGATCTTGGTAGAGATTACTTTATTTATGCGAACATGTAAACTGTATTTAATTAAAGATATTAAAGATACATACAGTTTCGAAAGAATACAATCTGTATTCAGTCTCTGAAAATATTATAAAACTTTATTTATTTAAAAAAAAAGAAACAATATATATTTTTAATTCAGGTTAATTATCTAGAGTTTCATTTTTTTAAATATTATAAATATTCTTAATGAATAATTCCCAGCATTTCGTGATTGCGATTCAGAGATTGAATGTTGCTTATGATATATTCCATCATTTGTGTGCGTTTAATATATCCGAATTAATTGTCAATTTTTAATTAACGCTTGCTTTATTGGAAATTGATCAATTTCATTTTTAAATATAATTTATTTCACATATTCTGTTAGAAGATTCAATTGTCGATTGAAGCTAGTCAACAAAGCTTTTATATTTAATATAAAATCTGTATAACATCTGTATTTTAAACAAATTAAGCTTTTCTCCTCATTGCAACTCAAAATTGTTTCAATAATCTTATGATCTTTCTATATAGAATAAAATATTGAATACCGTATCGTAATGAAATGTAAGAGTAGTAGAATCGGTTTCGATTAATTGAATCGATTGTAAGCTCGTTATATTAAGATATTTTTGTCCTCTCAATCGGAGAGAACAGAAAATCAATAATTGAATAGATTATTGCCATTATCGAACAACTTAATCTCTAGGAAAAAATTTCAAAAATTTCCCTACAAACATACGCATTATTTTCTAAATAAAATAAGATAGTAAATGACAGTTTAACAAGTAATAGAGAATTTCGTTATTTATTTATAAGCGTAAACATTCCTTCTCATCGCGACAAAATTCTTTCTAATCTCTTAAACATGATATACTTCCTACATCTCTTAACGTTATACAATTCTTTCTAATTTCTTATTTATATTCTTTCAGTTTGATCCGCAATATCCTCGCAATTTTAAAAGGACACGGAATTTTCGGGTTTTTCTACGTCGACGCAATTATCGGCTCAACCGTTTTGATCGCGGAACGTCAATAAATAACGTCAGCGGCCGAATCGGAGAGACGTCGATCAATGCTTGTCACGAATCGCGAGCTTAAACCGCGTTTTTCGCTCGCGCGAGTTGCGTGCGCGCTTCTTTTTTTTTTGCACGCGCCAGCGCACGCAACGCAATGTGACAGTGACGGTTGCGTACGGTAGTGCGCGTGTGTGTGTATCGCGCACATCTCTCCTTCCTTCTCTTTCTCTCGTCTCCCTCTTCTTTTCTCTCTCTCTCGCGTCGTACACCTCGGATAAAAATACTTCCTTCCCGACCTCGCGTCGCCGCCCAATCTGCCACCCGGCCCTTTTTTTCTTCCTCTTCTCTTCGCTCGCCTCCCGATCTCGTGCGCTCGCAAATGCGTATCGGAAAGAGCGTATCGCGTGTCGCCGGGGAATGTGGCGGCCGCGTTGACAAGAGGCACGGTTTTGCATTAATTACCATATTGCACCGTCGATCGTGCCGAGCCTTCTCTCTCTTTCTTTCGAGTGCCTCTTGTTCGCAGCTCTTCGAGGAATTCGTTCGTTAAGGAGCGACACTTAACCCTTGGACGACACACGTTTGACGTTCTACGTCATCGGGCGCGGCTTCGGCCTCGTAAGGCCGGAGGAAACGATCAAAGTCTAAAGGAAAGTCCAAAAACATTGCGCAAAGGGAGCGTTCTTTACATAAGATGACACGTGCCGAAAAATCAAACGACTTTTTCACCGTCAAAGATCATTCATTTCTCTCTCGCGCGCGAGAAAAACCGCGACAACGCCTTTAAAAGAGATCGCGGCTCTCTTTCCTTGTCCGAGTTTCTCCGCGCGAAGCTCTTTTAAAGAAAGAACGTCGACGTGACTCACCTAACGTAATCGCGCTTACAGTAGGTCTTGCCGTCTCGCACGAAACAGGTGCACTTTTCATCCAGAAATTGTTGACACTCGGCACATTTCAAACACGCCGCGTGCCATTCCAGATTAGGCGCTACCCTCAGGATCCACTGATCGTGGATTCGACCGCCGCAACCGACGCAAAGTGAACTTCTTCCTTCTGAAACAGAAACAATTATGTTTTAGAGAAAGAGGGAGAGAGAAAAAAATGGAAATGGAATACATTGTGTCTCAAGAGTTTAATTTTTATGCATCTGGTTTATATTTCCTTTGTACAAAATGCATTCAGGAAATTCGACTCTTCAAAGAGTCTGCTATCAAAAACATGATAACATAAAGTAATAATTACATTATCTCGAGACACGTGTTTCGAAATAATTCGACGAATGTACCAAAATAGATTTATTTCTCATATTTGATATACGCATATTGGTGAAAGTAAAACATTATCAAATATGCGTGCAGAATCGATCTTATCATCAATCGCAACGACCGCTTGTTAGTTACATATTAGCCGCGAAATAGCGATTAATAACATCTGTGTCGACCGACTGAGTCGCCGACAAACGAAAATAATCGATTCCTCGATCTCTATCATGTCGTGACAAAAATAACGACGCGTTATTTCGATTGTCGATTTCGCGGATCAAGCTTACGTAATGTACCTAATGTAACATGAGGATGTTTAATCACGGATTTTGCATACGATGGGAATTTTTAAAAAATTAATACATATATTTTTTAAGTAACTAACAATAAAAAAACAACACGAAAGAAAAAAGACATAACAATTCAAAATTATTCATTCATTTATTTATTTATAATAAATAAGTGAAATTGAAATAAAAAGACGTTGCTAAGAAAAAATTATTAGAAAAATTATTAGAAAAATCAATGTAACTTTTTTTTAAATAATCAAATTAAAATTTTTTTCTCTCGCTACGCCTTTAAATCGTATGACGATGCCGCGCCTTTGAAAGAATCGGAGCATACGAATGCGTTATCGAAAAAAGATAATCGTCAAGCACTACGAGGAATTTTGCTGCAAATTTATCGAATCTGTAAAGCGGATTAGCTTTTCAATTAGCGTAACATAATAGTCTCTTAATGTGAGATGCGTTAATCGGAGAGATTATTTCTATTAAATGTAGTTACAAATTCATTTATATCTATATAAATTCTGAAAGGATAATCTTGCACGTTCAAAAGAGTGCATAATTTTCAGATATTTTACATCTTTAAGTTAACGTAACGTTTTCTTCATTTTTTCTTCTTCACCATTTCAATGCAAATTAAAAGTTTCAAAATTGAAGTGACGTTTCCTACTCTATTATATGATCTCAAATGATTTTTTTTAATACAGTACGAATAATTATGCATGTGTATCATTTAATATCCTAAATTTATCAAGAGAAATCCGCTTTATATATGTCGGAAATTATTCTGGAAAATATTTGCAGCTTTTTATAATATTATGTTTATTACATTTGACCAAAATGCAATTAAATTTAAAAATATAATTAAAACGATAAATTTATCGCGTTTAAATAAACAGCGTCAATAAATACGTGTTTTCCACATAAATTTCCCATAAATATTCAATACATTTCACAGAGAGACAGAGAAGGAGATAGCGAGGGCAATTTAATACACCGTCCGACTTTACTTATCGCGATACGCGGAGATCCGTAAAAAATAGCCACGAGGCGAAACGACAGCGATTAATTCATTCATTTAATCGCATATACGAAGTATATTTATAATTCGGCGAGGAGTTTGGGCTAAACATTGCGGCGCATGTAAGGAATCAGGTGACGAGTTGTCAAACGTCAGCTGTCACGATCCGCGACGCTGGAAAGCCGCTTAAAAATTAGCGGAGCGCGACGCTTCCGCGTTCCTCGTCGTCCCTGTCGTCGTCGGCGGCGCGCAAACGAAAAGATGCGCCAACGAAAGAGGAACCGTAGGGGGAACGTCAGGGGCGTTACACGTCTGGGCGGCGCGGGTTTACATCTCGCCGCCGGAACTCCGCCCAGAGTCTCGACGGCGAGGAGCGTCCGGATTCTGCGCCCTGACGCGACGCGCCGCGTCGCGTTCACGGACGGGAACTTCGCGGACTCTCGGACGCGTCGTCCCTTTTTTTTCCGCAACATTCAGGCTCTCCGAACGCGCAGGAGCTCCTTTTGCCGTCGACGCGACGGGGCTCCTTTCAGCCGAACTGGGACGGAATAGAATGAGACAGATGTACGAGTTGGAAAGAGAGGAAAAACGAGAAGTGCGAAAAGTTTTCAGTCAACAAGCCTTGATGAAGTAAAATTATTCAAATACATATATTGAGTATTGTAAGGGGAAACGCGAAGTCGCATTTATGTTTTCCAGAGAACACTTTTTCTAAGTCCTCTGCATTTTTTTCACACGCTGATACCGACCTCTCACGAGCTTTAAAGCGTCTTTGGCTATCTCATATTGCATATTGATAACAATTTCCTTATCAAACGCTTATAATACTACAGTTATTTGATATATGTATATACATATGAGATATAGACTTGTATAATTTTATTTTCTTATCAATATGTGGATTAGTAAGATGAAGAAACTATATAACTAATGATATTTAATCGTGAGAAAATGTGTAATCGGAATAACTTAGTCGACCGTTGAGAGAGACAGTTTTTTACATTCGCCGTCACGTGGATGCCTTCATCTCTAAAAATAGACACATTATATGCATATGTAATGTAATTTTCAGATATCACAATATTAATGATTAAAAAATATAAAACTATATTATACTGCTAAATAAATGTTTCTAGTAAGTTATTGCTGATAAGTGGCAGCAACTAGAAGATGTGTAAAAATGATATTAAATTTTCAAGATTTTCTGAAAAATATTTAATTCGCTTATCATTAGCCACACCATGTTTGATATAAATTATTATTATTCTGTTCCTTATTAAATGATTTATAAATAAAATAAATCATCAATTTAAATCGCCTTTAATAAATGGTTAATAAATTAACCAAAGAAAATATGATTAAAAAACTATCTATGACAGGAATAAAATTGAAGGAACTTACATGTGTGAAAACGAATTTTAAACATTAATACAATCAGTGCGATATGTAATACAATTTTCATTATGCAGCTATTAATAAACGTTTATGCTGCGTAATCTTAAAGCATCGCCTTATTTGTCATGTCACTCAACTGAATTTTCTCACCTCTACCTTCGTTGCACATCGAAAACTAACGCACTGTAATTTTATTTATCACTCGATAAGCGTAATTACGCGTTAATTATCGCTAGCCGGTGTAGACAGACATTATCATGGAAAATAGAGTCACCTTCGTTATGTCATGACATATATAAATAAGTAAAAAGAAAACTTACAAAGGAATATCTATTCGCAATTCGAAAATTAAATAAATAATATTTTGGAAATGTATAGAAATTGTTTCTCTCTTAAATAAATATGCTGCTTTTATGCAAACTAAACGTATTTAAAAAATTACAATCTCTAAACATTAGACTTTCGTCGTTTTTCTTTTATTATTCGCAAATAAATTTCTTTTAAAAAGATTTATAGCGTTTTTAATATACAGCTATAGATTATTTAAATAATTATAACTAACACACATAATTCTTATATAATTGATTGTTTTAATAATTAATGGTTGCACTAAACATTCTTGTATTAGAAAAATTAATTTTTTTATGTAACCTTTTTTATATATCTTTTGTATTTTCTTTCCTTTGCAAGTAATAAAATTAAAAAAAATAGTTCTCGGATATTTTGTATATATATATATATATATATATATATATATATATAGTAGTAGTAGTAGTAGTAGTAGTAGACTAGTGGGACTTGTATTTATATATATTGCTTGAGGATCTACTTTTGTTAAATTGATATGAAATATCCTAATCCAACTGATTTCAATTAATAAAAAACTGAAGATGTAAAGTTAATGATAAGAATCACAGAAAAACAAATATAGACTGTACGTTATTTCCAAGTTACTTATTAATAGAATCACTTATTAATAACAGATTCAGCAAGTTAATAGCGGATTTAGTAAATGAAAACCTTAATATACGAATGCATCAATTATTTTTAGATTATAAACGACCAAATACGTGTCGTTTTTCTTGCGAATTAGTTTCAGATATTTTTTAATTAGCTATAAGCGGATAAGTTTCAGAAGCATAAAATTCAAAGATAACAAAATCTTATTCTTCATCTAATTTCAAGCAGGCTTTACTTTTTCAAATTTTAATTTGAAAACTAATTAAATTCTCAAAAGTTTCATCACCTGAGTTTCATTATATCTTAGTAAAAAAATATGTAAATGGCAGAATGAAGAGAAAACAAAGATATGTGTATGAGTATGTGTATTATTATTATTCCAAAAATAATAATTATAATTTAAAATCTTGTAGAGTAAATTTTATTCGCTTACGCGAAAGCCTCCGAATATGAGAAAATAGTACAACTTCATAGTACGGTGTCATTTTGAGAATGAAATTGTCCTTCTTTATCATTATTTTTAAACATTGATAGATTAGCGCGCATTTGTGTATCCAGTTTATATATCGCACTCACATATCCAAACAGAGAGAAAGAGAGAAAAAAAATCTCCGAGTTTACGGAACGAACTCATGTGAAATGTGTATACACGCGTGTCGATGGGAGGGAGGGAATCTCGCGACCACCATGAAAATCCTCGACCCGGTGGATAAGGTCAGGGTGGGATGCGCGAGGAGAAAAAAAGAACGGAACGAGAGAAAATCGGGAAGAGATATAAGGAGGACGCGCAGGAGTCACGCCGGAGGCGAGGGCAAGGTCGGCCAGGATCAAAGGGACTCGGACGTGAGGAGGGTGTCGGCGGCATCCCATTAGCTCCCAGAGACGACAACCACCTCGTATCTCGTAGACCTCTCGGATCTGGTTAAGCGTATCCAGCGCGCCTCTGTACTCGGGATCTCCCTTTCCTCCCCCTTCCCCTCACCTCCCGAAATCATCGTAAAGATACCATCGCGTATTTGTCGCTATTTCGTTACACGTTTTTCGCTCGCGTGGGCGAGACTGATTTAATACCGCCGTGACTCGGAGTGTATTTCAGATCCAAATCTTTGTAGTTATTGGGGAAAAAAT